ACCACCCCCTTGATGTCCAGGTATCATCTCAGAGCAAGCCTCTCTCTCCAAGTCTGTGCCCAAATCCAGGACTGTCTACCACACAGGAAAACAGCACTGCTGTAAGACCGCACCCACTGTGCAAACTGAGGAAGTTGCTTCACTAATACCCTCACTGCTGACCCTGCTTCACATGATTTAAGTAAGTATTTGTAAGAAACAGCACCGTGCTACGGAACAAAATGAGGAGCCAGTAATGTCAGCAACAAGGTTATTGTTGTTGGATATCTACGGGAACGTGAGAGAAGTTTGCTTATGACACAAAGCCAGATGAGAACTGTGATCACCACAGGGTCGGGTATGGAAGTGCCTGGAAAATTAAATATATTTTAAGGAAAAATGAGCCAATTTGGGAGAGTGTGTCCATGAACGTGCAGGGCAGATCCTAAACATACCACCTAGTAAGAAAATCTGCAGAATAAACAAAAAGGCCTTGGGGGTGACAAACCTACAGCGTTAACAGTGTGTTACAGTGACAGAAGGATCTGAGGTGTTTGATGGTTCAAGAGCTGGAAAAAGAAAACACAAGGCCTTAATCCAACACAAGCCTGAAGAGGCTGGATCTAAAGTAATCCTGATGCATTCTGATCAGCACACTGTAGAAGTCAGATCAAGTCAGGAAACTGCAGAATTACTGGGGGAAGGGAGGAATCAGCAGGGCTAGCATATGGGAAAAAAACCCAAAGCCCTGAAGTTCGGGGTTGTGTGCTCTTCAGGGAAAAGCATAACAGGATAGATGTATCTGAAAAATGCAGCCAGCCAAGGAGGAAGACATTAAAAGCCCTAGCTTTAATGAGAGAAAAACCTAGCCTGACCAAGAAATTCTACTGGGAAATTACTTCATAGTTGAGTAAGATGCAGCTTCCCAAACTGGCTGGGAGGGACAGACTGAAGAGACTTCAGAGCTCCTTCCATTTCCAAGATGCAGAGGGGAAACATTTCTTCTAAGCTAAATAGCTCAACAGCCTGGATCAGAACACTTCCTCAACCATGTCCTTCCTGTAGCAGCATTTCATGTCAGTTTGCCTCACTGGGAAGAATTTCTGCATAGTCACTGTAATGTTTACTCCTTCCCAGCTACTCACACACACAAATTACACACAGCAGCAAGCACCATTGGGCATAATGAGGCTGCTGAACTGGTTTGGATGGGCTGCCTGCATACCCATCCAGAGCTGTCACAGGAGAGCTGTGCACTCCATGGAGCCACGCTGCACCCACCTATGACTAAGTAGCACCTTGAAGAATGGCTTGAGGTCAAGGGATAAAAAGATCTCCTTTAAGCCAGCAAGAGCTCTACATGCCAGAGAAGTACTGACTCAAGTACTAGCAGTCAGTTGTGAGCTCAACATTATCTAAAGCGTATTTTTGGAGCCTATTTTTTCCAATTGTTTACCATCCTTGGTAAACAACAGGAAATCCACTCAATGATCCTTTACTGGGTTTCTCTAGCCAGGGCCAGGATGCCAGGAGCACCCGAACACAACCAAACCAAAGCCCAAGCCCATCAAGCTGGTCTGTCAATCCCCACTCAGGGGGAGGGCAGGCATCAAGCAGCTGCCTGTGCTTTCATGAGGAGAGGACCCGCTCTGCTCAGGTCTCAACTTGGATGACAGGTTCTCCTTCCTTTGAGTTCATGTGATTCAGACTCCTATCTTCAGTGGCCTCTGCCTCTCTGACATCACTAGCTGGTTGCATGACATAAAAAACCCCAAACAATTCTTTGTGTTTTGCAAGTGATGGCAGCTCACTCTTCAACCCGCGTGCTTGCTGCAGTGGCACTAAGGACCAATGAACTCCAACAGTGGAGATGGAGCTGCTCTGATGACTCCAGCAGGCCCGCTCCCCACTGCCTGCCCCAGCACATTCCCTCTTTAAGAAGCTCAATATGACCCAGCAGCGTGCACTCGCAGCCCAGAAAGCCAACCATGTCCTGGGCTGCATCAAAAGGAGTGTGGCCAGCAGGTCCAGGAAGGGGATTTTCCCCCTCTACACCGCTCTAGTGAGACCCCACCTGGAGTTTTGCATCAGCTCTAGGGCCCACAACACAAGAGGGACATGGAGCTGTTGGGCTGAGTCCAGAGGAGGGCGAGGAAGATGCTCAGAGGGCTGGAACAGCTCTGCTAAGAAGACAGGCTGAGAGAGCTCGGCTTGTTCAGCCTGGAGAAGAGAAAGCTCCAGGGAGACCCTAAAGCAGCTTCCAGTCCCTAAAGGGGGCTACAAAAAACCTGGAAAGGGGCTTTTTACAAGGGTCTGTAGTGACAGGACAAGAGGGTGATGGCTTTAAACTGACAGAGGGGAGATTTAGGTTAGATATCGGGAAGAAATTCTTTATTGTGAGGGTGTTGAGGCACTGGCACAGGTTGCCCAGAGAAGCTGTGGCTGCCCCATCCCTGGCAGTGTTCAAGGCCAGGTTGGACGGGGCTTGGAGCAACCTGCTCTAGCGGAAGGTGTCCCTGCCCGTGGCAGGGGGTTGGAACCGGGTGAGCTTTGAGGTCCCTTCCAACACAAACCATTCCACGGTATGGTGATTCCATGACGATAACGCAGCCCCCAGGGCGGGTCGTGCCGGGAGGAGACAGGAGTCGCCGCAGCGGGGACCTGCTGCCTCCCCCCCCCCCCCCGCGGTCCGCCAGCCCCCGGCTGAGCCCCGCCGCGAGGACAGCGGATGAGGAGCCCCGGCCCGGCCCCGTGCCCCACAGCCCCCTCGCTCCCCCCGCTCCGGTACCTCTCGGCATTGGGAATGACGACACCGCCCTCCTGCGAGTGATGCCTGTTCAGCGCCATCTTGTCCCCTGCTGACCCCGCCTCTGACCTGTGACGTTTACCCTCCTCTCTCCCCCCATAGGGCCCCGCTCCCCTCAACACCCCGCCCCCTGTGATGCGTGCCGTCAGGCGGACGTGAGGCGGTTGCTAGGTGACGGGAGGTTTAATGGCGACCGGCGCGGAGAGCGCTACATCAGGCGGCACCGGCCCGGCCCGCACCGGGCACCGCGTCTGCCCCGTGACGAGCCGCGGGCCAGCGCCAGCCCCAGCCCCAGCCCCGGTCTGCGCAGGATCCGCGGGTTGCTGCTGGGAAGGACCGCGGCCCGGCTCCCGGTTGGGCCCGGCTCCCGGTTGGGCCCGGAAGGGCTTTTCCCCCTCGCTCCCGACGCGGTGTCTGGCTGAAGAGCGTTTCTCGCTGCCCTCTGTTCGCTTTCCGGCTGCTGCGGTGGGAGAGGGGCTGGCAGCGTGCCTTGGGCAGCCGTTCCTCAGGCGCCCGCTCACCGGCTGTACTGAGCTGTAATTAACTTGTCCTTACGACTAACCACAAATACTAGTGCCTGCACAAGTGCTACTTGCTCTTCTGGCCCTCTGCTCACTGCATAGCCACACCTGCCGGGATGTTCGTTACCATCTTAGCCTGGTGGAATTTATCCAGCCTTTGGGATTTACCACAGTTTGTCTGGTGTGTGGCTTTGGTGGTGAAGAGTTGTCTCTGAACACACTGAGGAGGTATCTCCAGCTTAAAACTTAGCCTCTGTCCTCCTATGGTATCGTTCAAGTGATACCCGAGGGGAGCACCTGGTGTGCTGTGGTCATCCTGGAGCGCAGCTGTTGGCACACAAGAGCTGGGATTCATTCAGGCTTTTCCTACCTGATCCATCCACAGGTGTCTGCAGCTGTTGCACAACATGTGAAATTCTTTATGTTTGCCCTTTGTAGACCTTCAGACAGATGAGCAGATGGCAGTGAGGAATAGCTGAGCCTGTTTTTCTCAGCTGACTTTTATGGATTCTTTAGAATTAGTCCATGATCTGGCAGGAAATTATAGAGCAGAGCTTAAAAAACACCTTATTACAAACAAAAATTCCTAAACCTATAGAGCAAACACATGGCCTTGTCCTTGCAATCCACTTACAAGCAAAGAAAAATTCCTTCTGTTGTGTGGGGTCTGCTTTGCAATTAAGCAGGGCAGTCTTTGCCATAATCCTTGTTTGGGGTCGAGAGTCATAGGAATTACCATACCACAGCCCAAGGTCATGCAGACCAGTGGCAAGAGAGTTCCTCTAGACGATGGAGCATCACTTCGTGCTTCAGTGTGGTGAAGAAGAGGAGCCCTGAGGGAGTCTTTCCTACTGCTCTGGGTTTAAAACATGTAGAGGCTGGGCAGGAGCAGCCAGAGCAGAGAAGGCTGAGAAGATGCTTCTGGTAGCCAGTGATGCTGAGAACTCCTCCATGGCTGGTGGAGACAAGCTGGGAGGAGGCTCTGACCCCATGCTGGCCAGTGTAGGTGGCAGGATGGGGAGCAGTGTACGGTTTCTGTAGGGTCCATAGTACTGGTGATGGGGCTTTTGTTCTCTGCAGGTCAAGCAGTGCTGGTGTGGGTGGAAGCTGTATGTGGAGCTGTGAACATGGGTGGTGAAAGGACCACAAAGGGCTGGTATGGCCCTTGCGTCCCAGCAGTGCTGAGAATGTCTGGTTTGTGTGGACAGGTGGGAACGCAGGAGTGAGGAGACCTTTGCTTTGCAGGGACAGCACCAGAGAAAGCCACAGGATGGACATATGCTCTCAGATGGTTTTGCTGAGGCTTGGAGAACCCTCTCCTAGCCATGTCCCCTGTACAGCTCTATCAACCACCCTCAGGCTTGGCTTCAGTCCTTTGCTGTTCCCTTGCTGGGACCTCTTCCTCACTCCCTCCTGTGCCAGCCTTCCCAACCTTATCCCAAACCCATTGCACTTGCTTTCCTTGAAGCACTGCCATCCCGTGCTATGGCATTCTGCACTTGCATTTGAAGTGCAACCAGAAATTCTCCTGGAGGTGACAACCCTAGCCAGCCATGTGATGTGCTAGGTGACAGGCAGAGACTGCCAAACTAGGGACATTCTCCTCTCTTCCCATCTTCCCGGCCAGTCCTGACACTTTCCACCTGGTTTAGGGACACCCAGAAAAGAGTTGATGCCAGCTAGACACAAGCATATAGCTTCGGTAAAGTTGTGCCTCTTTCTGCTCCTGGGTCTTTACCTTCCCTCCAGGGGAAGGTAAAATGAGAGCTTTTCGAAAGGACACATCGATGAGGAGTTGTGAGAGATTGGGAGATGAAGGGGGAGAAAGCAGTCTGTAGAAGAGGAAGGTTCAAGTGCTCGGAGAGATGAAGGAGAGACAGAAAGGGTCAAGAGCAGAGAAGGTGAGATAGAGAAAGAAGGAAGCAAGATATGGAGGGCTAAAAGGGAAGAACAACAAAAGCACAGGAAAAGGGGCCATGGAAGCTGGGAGGGCAGTAAGAGGGTGGAGGAGCAGCACAAGCTGAGACTGCTGGAGTAGCAAAGGCAGACATTTCAGCAAGGGAAGAGGAGATATCTCTTTTGTTCCCATCATCAGTAGAGACCCAGTGCTTCTCAATCCATGGCTCTTTGTACTCCTTCAAGATCCTGAAGGCCCTGTGCTGAGCAGGGCTGCCCCTGGGAAGCTCCCAACAGAGACCCCCTCATGGCACTGTCTTCCCTGTGCTCCCACAGCACAGGGGCTGTGCTGTGGGGGGAAGGCTCGTCCAGAACTGGCTCAGTACTGGTGGAGAGAGACTGCTGCAATGGGCGATGAGATGGAGTGACTGCAGGACAGCTTGGCCTCATCTGTACAGGATCAGGAGCCTGTGACACAAGCACGGCTTTGGATCTTAGCACTGAGCAGGGCAAATGCAGCCTCTGCAGCAGAAACATGTTCTTTTTCTCTGGGTTTTGCTTTTCTCTTTTTTTTTTTTTTCAAATACAGCTATTTTCCTCAAGCATTTTGATGCTTCTCAATGGATGCTACAGCCCAAGAACTAATTCTGTCTCCTCCCACTGGTCACTTCCTCTGAACCACAAAATGTGTCAGTCTGTCACTTCTCTCATCCACTTCCAAGCTGCCATTTCCCCTTGGGAAGCCACAGCAAGAAATGGGCTTAAAAAGCTGGGCTACCATGCCCTCAGCCCAACCAGCTGCCTTCCCATGCACTGAGCCAAGAGAAATCTCTGGTGCCCTCACTTGAAGACACTGCGAGCACTGGCTCCACCATCTCTCCTGGAGTCTCTCCTTGCCATGTCTCCAAGTGATTAAAACAGGACCACAGCATGACCCACCACCTCCCACCTCCAAACCTCTCCTGCTCCTAGAAATCCTTCCCCCCCATCCCTATTCCCCCCAGACAAGACAGAGAGCTGAGACACAGAAACGAGAGAAAGGAACATGACGGACAGTCCGCTATGCAAAAAACAAACTGAGGATGAGGACACTCTGGGGAGGACAGGGAGACCTCACCTTGGGTCACTCTCTGGCACATAGGTAGGCACGCACACACACTCACACTCGCATCCTCTCACACACATGGAGGATGCACCACATGTTTCAAGATGGGTCCATGGTAGACTCAAGGGTAGCAGGGGTGGGTTGTCATATCCAGAGACACTGAGTGACAGTGGGGATGCGTGTGTGTGTCATTCACAGGTTACTTTCATGGTTTTCCTCTGTCTCGACAGTCATGGGGGGCAGCCCTCCGTTGTCATTCAGCCGCTTGGCCCTGTAGGTCTCATAGTGGATGTTGTGGGTCACTTCTTTCAGGTCCTGAAGGTGGGTCCTGCAGGGGGCAAGGTGAAGGTGGGGTTAGGAGGAAGATACGATAAGCAAGATGAGCTCAGTCAGTATTAATCTTCTGATGATCATTTTATTCCCCAAAATAAATGGAAGATCTCTTCAGGCAGTCTGGCTAGTGAGCATACCCCTTTCTGCGTGGATTGCATGGGTGCCATCATACATAGCTGAGAGCTGGAGCATCAGCATTCAAGAATACATATGCAGGATGCAGGATATCGGCTGAAATCCCTGTCTGTGCTTGCCAGTGTCCTGCTGCTCATGTCTGTGCCAGTGGGACAGCCACTGGCCATCCTGGTATGTCAGAGCAGACATGGTCTTATCTCATCTGAAGCAGAGGTGAGACAAGAAAGCACAAGACAAGCACCAGGAGGGTGTAGCATGTCCACTGCAGATGTTACCTCAGAACAATGCTGTGAACATCATCTTTAACCTCCATAGAAAGCCTGTGGGCTTGGATTTCTGTGTGGTTTGTGATGGTCACTTGGTTAGGATGTTTTCACTGTAAGACTCAGGGAAAGCATGTCTGCTGCAGAAGGTATCGCAGAACAAAAAGAGGGCAGTGGGGTGATGTCCAAGCATGTCTCAATACCACCATACCAACAGGTGGAATGAGCCACAGGGCTCCATCTTCTAAGAGTGTTTCCTTTATTTTCTTAGTTTTGGTGTTGTTTTAAAACCTTTTTATATTTATAGGGAACTGAGGTGACCCTGGGTCTGCACCTCTTCTACAGAATTTAGGGCAGGTATCACTTGTGCTGAGACAACTCCATGAAACAGAGTAGAAATAAGACTGGACAATGAAATACAGAACTTTCCATTTCCAGGTCATATATTCCAGCACATCCCTCAGCCTGGTAGGACACATGACCTAGGATGTGGTAGTGGCCTCTTTTTCACTGACTCCATCCCAAACCCATTGTCAGCAAAAAATAGAAGCAGTTTCAACCTAATATCCTTAACGGGATATAAGGGGGGGGGGTGATAGTACCCTGCTTTTCTCCAGGCATCCAGCTCATACATGAAACTAGTACCTACTTCACATAGTGGTTGTGTCACTAAGAGAGGCACTAGAGCATCCAGCCCTTAACTCAGTCTAACCCTACCCCACATAAGTCTTCAGTGCCTGAAATATACTCTATTTTCCTTTCCATAGGGGCTATTTCACTCTAAGAGGGTCTCAGGAAGACTCCCTGCTCATCAAGAGCAAACTGGTGTGTGACCATGGCCTTACCTGATGACAAAATCTCGAAGTAGGGCAAATTCACAGTGAGTCAGGTTTTCCACTGAAAAAAATAGCAAGCAAATGTTAGGTTTGACTTTTTCCAGCAACGGCTTTCTGGTTACATGGAAGAGCATGGGAAGGTCATTGCTATGGGGTAGGTTCTGGGTGGGCAGAGCCTGCATACTTCAGAAGGGACAGACAGCTGTCTGAAAGGCACAGTCAGGCATTGAGGAGACATACTAACAGATGCTGAGCAGTCATGTGTGCAATTGTATTTGAAAACCAAGGCAGCCTCAGGACCTCAGCCTCACACATGGTGCTGTTCAGAGTGGCTCCAGCTTCTACCAGTTGGCAGCAGGGGTACCACATTGACCATGGCAGTTCCCTCCCAACAGTGCTATTTGAGCATTCCCCTCTTGCTTGGTTTCAAAAAGTTTATCACAAAAGGGATGGGAAGGTGGCCATGGGACACACCGTCTGGATCCTGGTTTATTACTGGGGCCTGCAGAGAAACTTTCAGCTCCCAGAAAGAAGGGATTCTTTTACCTTCAATGATTCCCCAAGGTGTTTTCCTGCCCAGGACTCTTTTGCCATTCACTTGGTATTCCTTGTCGCTGCCCACTACTGCAAAGGGCATGCTTTCCTGCTGGGGAGAGACATGTGCAGAGATCTATTGAACCCATTCCAGAGAGCAGCACAGTCACTGTTCCCCATCTGCTTTCCTCCTCTCAGCTCACCAAACATAAGGCCTTTTCCAAGAGGAGAGATTCTCCAGGACAACAGTGGCAGTCCTCTTTACTGGCACTCCCCAACCTTAGTGGGTAGTTTGCAGCAGAGCAAAGACTCTGATGGGGCAGGGGGGAAGAGCTTTTCTGTTCCCATCTCCAGCATTTCTGAAGAGGGGGATAACCAAATAAGAAGTACCTTGGCTGGTACTTCTTATGAGGGTCTGTCAGCCCAGCAGTATCCATATAGAGAATTTGCCCTGTTTCTCAACCAGGTTGTAGTTCTCCACCAGAAGAAGGAGATAAAATAATCCTCCCCAGCAAGACACATGAACATTCAACAAGTTTAATGTCTGAAATGGTTGTACTGAGGAAGACCAGAAATGGGGTGGGGATGCAGCTTTCCTGGGAAGTGGGACAGTAGGTGAGGCTATTGGTGACTGAGGCTCTTAGCACAGGGAGAAACCATTCATTTCCAGAACACAGGTGCTGGAGACGCTGCTATCCATAAGGGTGTGCAGATGTTCATAGATTAGCTCTGCTTTATAGTGTCACTGAGCCTGGGAAGGGACTGCAGTTACCAAAGGAGAGGAGATCAAAAAGCAGTTTATTTCTTACATGTGATGCTGAAGTGCAGAACAAAATGTGGTTGGTGCTCTCATCAAAACCAGTAACTGTTTGGAGAAGGAGCAAAACCCATGTAGTCTTCTCCAGAATGTGTAATATATTGCCAAATGGGAAATGATTAATAAGATGGACAAGGTGGGAATTTCTGCTGGGGCTGTGACAGTTGGGGCAGTCGAAAGGGCAAGTGTCAGGGAGCAGTACAAGAGTTTCTTGAGGACTGCGTGGATGCCAGTCTATTTTCAATAAGAGCCTAGCTACAAAAATGATGGGTGGGATAACAAAATGCACTAGCATCACAAGGCCAAGAGGTGTTGTCAGTACGAAAGCAGCCTGGGTTATTATATGGGAAGATGTAAGTTTGAGGCACAAAGAGCAGCATTTTGGGAATAACAGCAAGAATTTCTGCTACAACTTCAGAGCTCATGAGCAAGTAGTGTCTGAGGGAGTGGAAGGACCCCATGTGCTAGTCAGATACAGAATGACCATGAGCCACCAGCGTGATGCAATTGTTTAAAATGCACATGTGGTCCATGGGTTTAGCAGTTCAGATCTCAGGAGAGATGGGAGAGCATCGGGTACCAGCACCAGTGCTACAAAATCAAATCAAACTGGAGCAGTCACAGGAAAAAGTGACTAGGAGCATGGACTACTGAGGAATGGAAGGCTCATCTAAAGAAGATTGTCTCCTTTAGCTGACCAGAAGGTCCCTACATCTGTTGCATCTTTCATTCATGAACCAAGAAGCACTTAAAAACCTCTAGTGACACATGTCCATTTTACACTTGTTAAATATGACAAGCCCTCATCCCCCCTTCCCCTCCCATGATAAAATGTTTCCTACCCTGATTTTGTCGTTCTCTGTTTTATCCTCCAAGTCCTCATCAAACTCTTTCTGGGGGTAAAACTCGATCCCATTTACTTCTAGCTCTTTGCGTACCTGGGCAGAGACACATCTTGGAGCACAAAGCAACACAAAGCTGAGGGAAAGGCAGGTGGGGTGTCTGGGTAAACACATCTGGGACATCCTTCCAGCAGGCAGGGGCTGGAGGGATTGTGCCTGGGAACTGTGCAGCAAAGTGAGGACACACAAAGGCAATGATGAGTCTTTCTTCCCAACCCCCAGTTACTTGTCTTGCTCTGCTGTTCCCGTGACACTAGATGACACAGGGATACACATGTTTCTTCCCCCTCTAACAGATGCCTTTCTTGCCACAAACAGCTGCATCTTCAGGACTTACCCACCAACCCAGCACTAGACTCTGCACATGCCCCAGGGACTGTGCTGCAATCCCAGGAAGAAGCATAGCGTGCATTTCTCCCACCTCCAAGCCAGGGCAGGGAAGGATCTCATGCAGGAGAGGAGATACTCACTCTTTGTTTGAACTCAGTCTTTTCCTCCAAGGTCATGGTGTCAGCCTTGGCAATAACTGGGATGATGTTCACTACTTTGCTGAGATGTTTCATAAACTCCAGGTCCAAAGGCCGCAGGCTGCAGCCCAAGGGGGAACAACATGGAAAGGGTCACTTTACCCTCCTCCCCTTTCATCCTAGTGACTCTCCCAGCATCAGGGCATCAATTAACCCCCCTTGTACGTACCCTGCTTGCCACCACTGTGCTCTCATTTCCTTCTTCCTATCCATCCTGCCCTCTCCCAGAAAACAGTGGTATTTCTCCTGCCCTTGTTATCCTAGACCCTTCCAAGCCCCACAGCACTCGAAATTAAGCTAAACAGTGGTCAGTCCTGCAGGCAGGACCCCTGAGCCTGAGATGGAACAGTGCAGGGTATGTATCTGGTACAGAGCACTGAGGACTTGAGGAAGGATGAGGGACTGTGTACATACGAGTGGCCTGTGGGGGAGATGAAGTAGAGGCAGCAGTGCACTCGCGTGTCTGGAATTCGTTTCTTCCTTGCAATATTCACCTCCTCTTTCAGAAATTTTTCATATTGCTCATTGATGTATTTCTCAATAGGCTCCCAGCTGTTAAGGTGGGAGAGAGAGATGAATAGACAGGTACAAATCTCCACATGTTCCTGCCTACAGTGTTCCTAGCTCTGACAGCAGCAAAGCACACTCAGGCATAAAAAATACCCACCACAAGCATCTCACCATTAGCTGAGATGTTTAAGAGTTTCTGTAACTGGGCACAGAAATAGGCACTTCCTATGTAATGTGTGCATACCCCCGAGCATGCACACAGACCCACGGTGTTCACAGTTCCATGTCCCCACTACTGGCTCCCTAAGTGCAATAGGAGTCCCAGATGCTTTCCAGGCCAAGTAGATGAGAGTTGCTCCATATACCACCTCAGCTCCAGCCCTTTCTGTGACACAAGGCCTTGACCATGTAAAACTCACCAGTTCTCGTTGTTGATCTGGTCCCCAAATCCTGGTGTGTCAATCACTGTCAGCTTCATTTTGACACCGCCTTCTTCAATGACTGGGAAAGACATTGCAAACAATCAATAAGCCTCCCAGTGCACTGCTCATGTTTCTGTACCCTACAAGGGAACAAGAGTGCTCTGCCTTCATCTCTGCCCAGCAAGCATGACCAGTCTAGGCTGGGTCATGCCTCAACAGTGGTGACCCCCACTTGCATTTCTGACACCAAATTTTGCTGACCTCTGCACCAAAGCCACCTTATACCACTCTGCCACAGGAAAATGGATTTGTGCTCAGTTTGTGGCCCAGAGCTAGTACCTGTCTTACACAACTTGTCCTCCCCATCCTGAATCTGAGATGATACACATTACTCTGCACCACTGTAGAAGCTGTGCTGATGCTTTGCCATGAGGAGATGTATTCTACCAAACTTGGGATGGGAACCCACTAATGCAGCTTGTATTGACTATTAAGTGTCCGCAGGTGGGAATGACTTACAGCAGGTCTTAATCCGCATATGTAGACTAATGTCTTGGCAGAAGAAACATCTATAACTCTTTTTCTACCCCTCACTTTTAGCTGTGGCATCAGTGGCATCACTGTTTAAGAAAAGCCATGGCTGGATCTGAGGCCATCTAAAACTGACACTTGTCCTTTAGCTTCCCATGAAGAAAGGACTGCCTAATACCAAAGAACTGTTTGCATAAACTACTGGGGTCTTCTGCAAGACTGTTCTGAAGCATAAGTATTGCTTTGCCCCAGCAGCCTGGCTCTTACCATGCCCAATGGCTTTGATCTCCACTGTCTTGGGGATCTTCTCCTCCCGGTTCCATCCTGAAGATTTGCGGCTCACCTGGGATTTGAAGAGGGTGTTCACCAATGTAGATTTTCCCAGTCCACTCTGACCTGAGGATTGCAAAGAGGAAGCCTATGACATGTGCCACAGCCCTGCAATGACAGCAGGCCCAGGGGATGGAGCCAGGCTGGCAGGAGAAGGGACTGCAGGGGTCTCCTTGCCTTGTGCAGGCTCTCCTTTCCCCTGCACCAACTCGTCTCTGCACGGCTTGCCCTCCCACCTGACCCCATAGGACAGTCCCTGGCCATGGTTCCCAGTACCTCAATTGCTACGTGCCTACCTACAACCATGATGTTGAAGTCAAAACCTGTCTTCATTGTTTTCTTACGCATCTGCTCAATGATGGTGTCTATACCGATGTAGCCCAGCAAGTTGGCGTTAATGCCCATGGGTTTCATTGGTACAACTGGTTTTTGTCGTGGCTCTGGGACCAGCTCAGACATGGCTGCTTCGTTTTTGTTCTCCACTGGTCCTACATAGGGAGAAAGATTGAAAAATCATCATTAAGGTGTAATAAGGACCCCCTTGCTGACCTGTCACAGGGACTGAGGGCAACTTTGAGCATCCGTTTCAAGGGTACTTGATGATTGGATGGCAAGATTATAGCAGTAAGAAGTTCCTCTTCAGGGAGGAACATCTACTTGAATTTCCAGCACACCCTTCAATGTATCATACCAGATGAGGAGGTAGAGAAATGGGGTTTGTTGAGCATGCAGCGTGCTGAATGCTACCTCCAAACAGTACGAGCAGGCGCAGTGAACCTGGCTGGGTTCCTATTCGGGTGCCCAAAGTTCTGTGTGTGCCTCCTCAGTTTTGTCTCCCAGTTCTCACCAGGTTCACCAGTGTTTTGCCCCTCCAAGTTTAGCATGAAATTCGCAGTGGAACTGACTTCCAAAAACTATCATGTGTCAAGTCCTGTCATTGAAACAAAGTTTGGGATTTACCATGAGGACTTCAAAGCTTAGCCCTTGCCAGGGACAGCTGCATTATTGCCCGTGCTGTGAAGGCTGAGTTCCTCAGAAAAAGGCAGTGATGGAAGTGCAAAGCATGGTCACAACCTCTGCACTTACCTCCCACCCATAGATCAATGGGTTTTGTTATGCTCAAGAAACTAATCATTATGACCAATAAACGAATTATCTGCATCTTTCCCTCCTCACTTCTTCCATGTAAAACAAACAGGCAAAGAGAAAGCTCCTGCTGGCTTTATGGGCTCCCTGACTCTTTCAGGTGATGGCACACACTGCTCGAGGTGGGCCTCATCCATTTATCTCCATCTCTTGTCTCATTAGTGAGCAGCCCCCACCCGCTGGGAGGAAGCTGGAGGTTGGGAGAGAACATGACATGGGATAAAAGCTGTAATTGATGGGGAAGGGAGGCATGAGGGATAAATCTAGAAAGGAAGATGAAGGGGATGGGAATCAAATACCTTTCATACACAGACCAGCTGCAAACTAAAGCCTCTCCCACTCTAATTACTTGACTCCCCCATGCTTTGTCTCATTAGATGATTATTTTCCCAGGGCAGGGACAGCATCTGTTTTTGCTTGCTAAGCACTCCACTTGTTTTGGAGGCCACTTCAGTTGAAGTATCTCACACTAAATTATCCCTTTCCATCATTCGGTGGAGTTTTTCGCTCCACTCAGCAGAACCCATTGGCTGCAGAGCAGGAAGTGAGAAGCCAGGCAAGCGACTGCCATTCAGTGGGTGATGGATGCTGCTTGGAGAGGAAGGTGATTCAGAGGTCACCAGGCTGGGGACACTGGCAGCACCAGTTCAGGGTCCTTGTGACAGCTCAGCCAGGCCAGGCAGAGACCGGGGCTGGGGAGAGGTCAGAGTGATGTTGTTTGAGGACAGGGTTAGGCTGCATGGGTGGCTGGTGACCCTGCCCAGCATTCCCACATCAAAGCCCTTACATAGGCACAAGGGCTGCTCTACACAGTGAAGATTTTACATTGTATGTAATCTTTAATACCCCATGATCATGTGCTGAGGGCAGACCTTGTGGAAGGGCCACCACTGTCAGGGAGAAGGGTGCCTCCACCCAGCTCCTTTGACACCGCTTGGTAAGTTTTTTATGTTAGAGTGGGAGAAGGGATGTTCCCCCTGTGGGAGAGGGTGGTAGCACTTCCACCCATGCACAGCACTGTGGATAATGTCTGAAGGTTCTTGTACCTTCACCTTGCTGGCAGGGGAGAGCTCTGCTGGAGATGGTCCCTCACTCTGAGCTATCACCATCCTCTCCTGAAGCAGCGAGCAGTAGCCTGGGGGGACCAGAGCACAAGATGGACTGTTGGCTTGAGCCAGGTTGGCAACTCAGAGCACCTCATGCTGCCGGGCAGCTGCCGGGGGAGCAGCCTGCCCAGCCAAATGCTTCCCAGCTGCAGTCTGCTCTGGCACCCATCACGGCTCGTCTGTGCCTTCCCTGCTGACAGAGCACCCCCTGGGGCTCCTGCTGTCTTTTCCCAGCTTTCTCAAAGCTGCTGCCAGCCAGGAGAGCCCTGCACAGCATGGTGGACCAAGGCAGCCAGCTGTCTTGCACTCTGCCCTTTGCCCCTCCTCACCCAGGTACAGGACCTGTGCCATAGTCATGTGGCTGTGCCATGCCCCTCATCCTGCTGCAGCATCCTCCAGTGCACAGCTCACAGAGACCTGCTCTGGTCCCACCTACTCCAAAGACAGGGAGAAGAGAGAATGAGAGAGGGAATGATGTGGGGAGATGGGGCAGGGGATTGTGGCCCCAGTAGCGCACTTGCCTACTGCAGTAATGGGGGCAAATAAACACCAGAGGTGGACAGGGAACAGGATAAGGTGAGAAGAAAGCCCAGCTGAGCAGCTGCATGGGATGACTGCATGACCTGGATGCAACCCTTTTGCTGCCTGGGCTGTAGCTTGTCTTCAGGGAATCTATTGCACTCTCTTTTATGCCTCCAACTCCTTATTCTTACACAGGGAGGAGGAAGCAGGTAAGTTGCTGGCAGCCAACCTCAAGGCTCACTAAGAAGTTCATAGCTCATACCTCAATCTCACCGAAGGATGCTTTGCCCAGAGCCAGGAGATGTTCCCAACTCTGCTGTGGACATTCAATATGTGGCCATCTGTTTGCAGGCTTTACTGCTGGAGCCAGGAGCTTGCAGCAGCTGGAGCAGATATTTCAGAGTCAGGTTCCTGACCACCTATATAAAGCCCTGAGATCAAGAGAAAAGATCTGCAGAAGACTCCTTAAACATTTCCTGGATTTTCCATCAGTGATGTTGCCCTGAGCATTTGATTTTGGACATTCAAGGTCTCAGTGTAGGCACCCTCCCTTTTAACTCTCTTTCCACACAGCCTCGGGCAGGGAAGGCCCATTTTGCAAAGAGGTGCCCAAGGGCTCAGCTTTCCACACACAGTTTTCCACTTCTTGACTCCCACAGAGGAATCCAAGGAGCCAACTGAGGAGCAGCTTGCTGGGGAGGTCGGGGTCTGCAAAAACCAAGGCAGAGCTATGAGTGCCTCCTTAAGACATGAAACGTGCCTACTTGGTCTCTTGGGAATGGCTCCGCTTCACATGCAGTAATGCTAATGCCGCTAGGAAACCTCATTAGTGCCCTGAATGACTGGTCAAGGGGTACTATTGTGCATGCTAGGCACATCCTGGCCCCTCCAGATGTCTGCTGTAATGAATACATGATAGGGTACTACAGCCAGTACAGCTGATAATGAATAGAGGGTTAGCCAAGGTTAACCACTTGCATCCGCTGCTTGCATTGTCACCCTTTTCCTTGCCACTTTGTTCCATGTGCTAAGCCAAGTTCATTTAAGAGGTCATTGCTGCCTGGTTCCTGGTGGGAGCTGGCTTGGGCTGGGCTGACAGGGGATAATCTCTGGCTCATAGGAGATGCTCCACTTGGCTCTAGAGCAGGGAGAGGTGCAGCATCTGGGACCAGGGAGGGCAGAGCCAGAAGGGCAATGGGTGCCTGGAGAGGTCCTCATGGTCCCAGCTGGCTCCTGCTTCTAACACCCCCTTATCCACCCCAAAAACACTCCCTGAAAGGTTGATGTACATGTCCAGCTGCAAACACCACTCCTGAAGCACACGCTTCACATCTGCCTACCTCGTGTTCACAGCAGATAGCTGGGGACAGAGGTGGCCCTGCGGGTCCCTTAGGGGCTCAGATAGTGGGGACTAACATCTACTCTGTCCCCATAACCCAGATACAGTAGCATCCCCTCCCCCTGCCTTTCCATCCTTTGTCTAAGTGGTAAGAGGGAGGGAGGGCTGCAAACAGTTGCTCACCACAGCCCAGCTTCCAGCAAGGAAAGGCTATTTAACCCCCACATGGACAACCTCCTGGCAGCTCCCGTGTGGCGTGAGGCTGTCCTGCTCTGGCTGGAGGCAGAAATCGACACACGAGTCTCACCCCAGCCCCTTCCACTTGCATGGCTCTGGACCCACAGTTCCACTGCCTACAAACATGGAACAGGGAGGAAGGATGGGGTTGGAGCTTGAAGGTGTCTGACAGGGGTAACACCAGGTTCCTGGGAAGAAAAGCCAGCAGCTCCTTCAATAGCCCTTCCTCCCTGGGGCTTGCAGGCATTGCTTCTGATCTGAAGGTGCTGGACTGAGCGTCCCTCTACTGGAAAATCCCTTTTACCCCTCAGTTTCTGTGATGACCCAGGCATTTCTCCCAGTTGTGCAGTGCAAAGGCTAAGCTGTGCCTGATGCACTGCGTGACCTCAGGGTGCAGAACAGAGCCATTTTTCTTACCAGATCTTTTTGCCTGGCCTGAGGACCACTGAACATTTCCAGTGAAGCAGGGAAACTCATCCCAGTCCTTCAGCTGCTGCAGCCTTCCTGGCAGCAACCTTCCTTCCCTTCAGTGCTCTGCAGAGGGCTCAGGCAGGAGCCTGGCTCTGCCAGGGCCGCAGTGAAATCTAGGGCAGTGTGTGCTGAAGGTTCTCTGGAAGTGAAGGGGCTGGAGGTGAAGGGGCCGGGCACGTCCCCAGCCCAGCCGCTGCAGGGTTAGATGCTCACCTCAGCCCCAGCTGTACCCAGACTGCCAGTCCCCGGCCGTGCATCTCTTACCCCATAGCCCGGCTCACCCCTGGGTGGTACGGCTGTACCACAGGGCGAGAGGATGCTGAGCACCCCTGGACCACCGCAGCTGCCTGTGCTCCTGCCCGCCTTCCCGCCCGTGCAGGGCCTCCCTGCCCGCCGCTGGCTCCTGCACAGATGCCCAAGGAGCAGCACAGGATGTTGCCCCTGCAGCCGCTGCCTGTCACTAGCAAGGGACAAGCAGCTTGTGGGCTTCCTGCAGCCCTGGACCAGCTCGGATTATCTCTTTCAAAGCAGCCCCTGACGGCAGCTACTCCCGATCATATCCGCCAACAGCCCATCTCATTCTCCTTCATGCCAGACTGCTGCCACCAAAAGGAAAAACGAAGACAGACAAAGCCAGGACCGATTTCCCCTGCTGCCCTTCGGGGTTATTCCTCCTCCGTGGCCAGAGCTGGGCAGTATGGAAGCACAGCGGAGGGTGCCTGCACAAAAAGCCCCAGCGGCGTCCCTCCGGCATCGCCCAGCCCTGCCAAGCCCAGAGCATCCTACCTTTGAACATGAAGCTTCCTTTGTCTCCGAATCCTCGCCCAAGGGGGTGGGTTTCCCCTTACTTTCCTAGCCTGACGCTGGCACGGCACGGTGGGCTACGAGGCGCCGCTTTTACCTCCCTCTTTCTTCCCTGTATCCTCTTCTCCCCACCTCTCCTTCCCCTCCTTCTCCAGTGGCTATTTCAGCGGAGAGGGGATGCTGGTGCTGCTCCTGCTGCCATCGTCATGTGACCTGAATATTAAACATCGCCGCAAAATCTCCCCCCGCGCACCCTCCCCGGCTCCATCCCGGGCCCCGGCTCCATCCCCGGCCCCTCCGGGGGGGGCGAACAACCACCGGGATGGGGACAGCACCGCCAATGGGCCCCCTCCGTGCCCTGGAGGGGCCCCCCTTGCACACCCACATTACACAGGCCTTTTCTTACCCCTTTCCCTCCCAATTCCCCAGCGTTTTCAGCATCTCTGCTTGTTTAGGGAGGAGGATCTTTAACCCTTCACAGCTTGGCTCTGGCAGGGCACTCAAGGGCACTCTTTTCCCCTAGGTATTTATTGCAAGGCCTCCCTTCTGCTTTCCCGGAGGAGGGAAATTAGGAATGTTTTGGCTCATCAGAAGTGACTTGCCCTTCAGATCCGCTTGTGGAGGCGTGAGAAACCTTCTCTCTTCTGGAGCTGTGACTCCTGGCTCTCAGCCCGTGGTGCAGAGGCAGAGCAAGCGCTGTCCCTTCTGTGTGTGTGTGTGTACACGTGTGCATGAGTGTGTACGTGCGTGTGTGTTCATGTGTGTGGTGAGCAGGAAGAGGCGCTGCCCATGGGCCATGCTGGGGTACGCAGGTCACATCCCGTGTGCCCCCGCAGGCATACACACATGCCTGCACTGCCCACCTGCATGTGCCCAGTGGATGTGCTTGCATCTGGAGAGGGGGCACATCCTGGAGGGGGATGCCCCTTCCTCTCTCTGTGTTTCCTTCTCCTGCATTCTACAAGAAATCTGGAGAGGGACTTTTTACAAGAGCAAGTAGTGACAGAACAAGGAGAATGGATATAAACAGTCAGAGGAGAGATTTAGATTAGATAGTGGGGAAAAAAACCTGGAACTGCCCAAGGAAGTTGTGACTGCCCCATCCCTGGCAGCATTCAAGGACAGGTTGGACACAGGGCCTTGGAGCAACCTGCTCTAGCAGAAGGTGCCCCTGCCCGTGGCAGGGAGTAGGAACTGGATGAGCTTTAATGTCCCTTGCAACCCAAACCATTCTGTGAGTCTGTTTGTGAGCCCTGGCTGCACTCTGCCCCTGCCATGCTGTGCTGGGGCCAGGGCAAAAAGGAAACTGCACCCTCTGTGGGTTACAGGACCATTTAGGAATCACTGTCAGTCATTACCCAGAGTAGGCTGAGTGGTCCACAGCCTGGCTGCCTAAGACAGATGACAGACAGAGAAACATCCCAGCACCCCCAGCATCTCCTGTCATGGTGCCCATGGCTGTCCATTTCCTTGCTGAGTGCCAGGCTCACCTCCACACAGGCTCACCTCCTGTCTGCCTTTGCCCACCCACATTCACAGTGTAGGGAAAGGAGAAATGGCCTCCAAGGAAGGAATTGCTCCCCATCCTCCCCATGTCACCCCATTGCTCCCACAGGGCCCTGCCCCATGCCAAGCCCCATGGCACTACCAAGGCACCCCTTTGTGCCTCCCTCCCCCCTTGCCCAGCCCATCCCAGCAGCAGAGACCCACCGGAACATGGTGGGGCGCAGGGAACCCCCATCTTCATCACCAGGGAGGCTTCGGCCCCGCCACATCGCTGGGACCCCGAGGCCACTGTGGGCCGAGGCCGAGGGGGGACGGGGGTGATGGGGGCCGGACCCCGCAGCCGCTCCCAGGGGAGCCCCCCGGCACCCGCACTGGCCTGGCGCAGGGTGACCGAGAGGCAGCTCCGCTTCGTGGGGGCACCAATGGGGCTGTCCCGCCGCTGCGACGGGGTCGGGATGCGACTGGGGCCGCCTGGAACGGGCAGGTGGCCGCGGTGATGGGCGACGTCCTCCTCCATGGCTGCAAGAATGAGGGCAGGGTCCCGGCGGTCCCCCCTGCCGGGGCCGCGGCGTCCCGGGGCGCAGCTCCCCGGCAGCGCTGCCCAGCGGCCAGCCCGCCTCCGGGCAGGACAATAGCGAGCCTGTGCCCTGTGCCCACGCCTAGCGCTGCGGCCGCTCCTGCCCCTGCCCTGGCGCCTTCCTGGCTCCGTGCCGTGGGCAGCCCCGCACCATGGGCAGCCCCACGGCACAGCCCCTGCCCTGCTGTCCTGATGGGAGGTGATGGAGCAGTGCAGACCCACCGGGTCAGGCCGGGGCTGGCTGCTCCCAAGGACAACCGGGGTGATTGGGAAAAAAAAAAAAAAAAAAAGAAAATCTCTGAATTTTTTAAATGTTTCTCCATCCTCTCACTCCCCCCCCCCCCCCCCCCCCCTTCAAATAGCAAATTTCAGTTACAGGATTATGCCCTCCTGAGAAAGTTCGCTCACCAGGCGTTCATCAAGGTTAACGCTTCTTTCCTTTACTCTGGTTTTCTTCTGCTGCTTCATTATACTGATTGTTTCTTAATTTTGTCAGCTTCGGGGTCGAGCAAGCAGCTTTCCACTGTGCACCTTCCTCACCATGAAAGAGACTTCGAAGGGCAATGCAGTGACAAAGGAAGGAAGAAGAAAAGTGTTTTGGTGGAACAGGATGAGAATATGTGTGTTTTGTTGGGCAAATGGGAGCAAAGAGGAGAGATGGGCACACGTAGCACCCAAAGCATGGCACCCACAGTGGCATGTCAGGTCATGCACCCAGCCTTTGGGTGGCCAGGGCTGAGGGCTGGAGGGATAACAACAAGCTGCGAGGAGTGCTGGGGATAAGGACAAACTAACTTCTCTGCTACTTTAAAGGCAAAGAGACAGAGAAGGTGGAAAACACCAACCTGATCCTGGGCAGTATGCCCAGCACTGAGTATCTTGCCTGATGCTTTACACAGTTTAATTCAGTATCTGTGACTATTTCACTCTCCCCTGAGGTCTCTCTGGCTGCACAGGTCCCATAGGGGTGTCACAGTCTCAGTTTTCAGGCAGTGTTTGCATTTGGCTGAATTATTCCTAGATAGCCCTGTGGCATAACCGGCACAGACACCACGCGGATGAGGACCTATCCTGCTGTAAAGGAAACCTCACTGCACGCTGGTCCTTGCTACCTGCCTAGAGCTGCAGGGAGGCAGCTTCCAGGGGGAACAACAGGAAAAACGAGCATTGGCCACGCATTTTGTCACATAATTTTATTCCACTGGGGAGGGCTTTGACACCGCTGGCAATAAAGTCCTTCATACACATGGAAAATACCTGGCTTAATACTGGCTGCATTAGGACTGACAGCGCGAGACAAGCCAGAGGAGGTGAACAACCAGCTTCTCTCTAGTCCAGCCCTGACCTGTTTGTTGTCTTCTTTTTGCTTGGTTTCTATAGCAAGTCATGAGCAGAGCGGAGGTGAGAACAGGCAGGACAGCACTCAGAGGAGGGCGCAGAGGAGGGCGCAGGGGAGCCCCACCACACCACGGATGCCGGCCGGGTGAGGGCAGCAGCAGCAGACCCAGCCCTTCGGTTTTACCGGGCTGGTGGCTTTTCCCGCTTCTCTTCCCCCTCAGCGGGTGAAAGCAGGTTTGGAGAAGGTGCGATGGCAGAGCAGTCTGCACTGGCGCAGGCCCCAGAGACCAGACCCCCCTTCCCACAGGGACGGTGTAACCTGTCCCTGGTGACTCCAAGCCCCTCAGCTCCAGTACAGAGTGTTTTATTGCTACACCATGTCTCAGCTGGGGTCCGTGCTCAGTGCAGCCCCAGCTGCAAGGGAGTGGAGGCGAGGAAGAAGGTTTCCAAGCTGGCACTTGGAGATATGGCTGTGTTGTGCCAGAGGGCAGGGGATGTGAGCCATGCAGACCATGCAGCCCAGCCCCACGGCATTTCCCTTTCACAGCTCAAGTCACCAAGGCACAAAAATACATGGGATTTACCTGTTTCAGGCTGCACCTGCACTTTGAGCAATTGCTTGCCAGGGCAAGCATTACTTTGGGCACAGGAGTAATCTCACTCACTGCATCTCCCTGCAGAGCAAGACTCCCCAGTTAGGGTACTCACATCTCTGTTTTTTGGCTGAATGTAAGGACTTAATGAGGGATGAAATGTCCCAGAAAGACTCAAGAATATTTGCAGGATGTTCTGACCCATTCCTTCCTCAGCCAGAAACCATAGAGCTAGAAATTAATTTTCATCCCCAGAGAATTACCCACGGACCATCACTCACTCAAACCAGCCCAGGACACCCTCCTCCTTTCTTTGGGAATAGAAGAGAAAGCTTCCATTGACGGGTTCACAGGAGAGACTGAGTGACATGAGCCCGTCTAGGACACATGGCAGATTCAGGCAGCTGGCTTGAGGGACTCCTGCTGCCCAAAGCAGCCATCAGGGACTAAACAGAGACAGCACCCTGGGGATGTGGGTCACTCTGCTACTGGCAGGTTCATGAGGCGGCATGGGATGCACAGACTCACGCAGATGTGGTGGTGGCATTGTCTGACATCCCCTGGGACATTAGGAGTGGGGCACACAGGGCCCTGCATGTCCAGGGTACTCACTGCTGCACCCACTGCATCCAAAGGGTGGGTGTTGGGGTAGTAGGAGAGGTGATGAGAGGCTTTTGAGACAACCTGCTGCCACAGGTTCAGAGCTCTCCCAAACCTGCCTGTACACACTGGGCATTGCACTGGCTGGGCTGGCAGGGAGGGAGAAGGTGTGATTACCAAGGGACCTTTCATTTGAGTCATTCACCAGTCTTGGCCATGGGAAGGAGCAGAAGTCCTTGGCTGGGTGAGGGCTATGAGCATGTGGGAAGCCCTGAGCCTACAGTGCCACACAAACCTTGCCTAAGAAACAAAGGGGCAGAAAGGTGAGTGGTGAGTACAAAACTCAGACCAGCAAAGAGCAAAGCTGCTATCAGCACAGCTTGCACAGGGCCAGCCTGTCATCCGTGCTGAGGCTTGCAGACTGCTGTCCATGCAGGAGAGGCTCTTCTGGACTGGATGGGCAGCGTGTCAGACCTCGGGCACCCCGAAGGCCAGGTTGTCCCGAATCATCAGTGTCTTCCGAAGGTCTCGTTCCATTATCGGCCTCTGAGTTCGCCACTTATGGGCTTCCTGGAGTCCTGGCTCAAAGTAGTAAATGCAAGCTCCAAAGCCCACCAGGATGAGAATAGAGATCATCAGATACACCGGCACAAACCAATCCAAGAAGTGGGGCATGGCTGCCAGAGAAAAGGCAAGAAACCCCATGCAGTGTAAGCACCCAAGAAACACAACAAGCTTCATGATGAGACACCTGCCCCATCAGCAGGGCCCAGCCTCCCTACACCCTTCCTCATTGCCCCACCACACTCTGGTTTGTGCTAGGTCGCACACCAAGGCACTTCAGCCTTTGGAAGAGAGCAATCCCTTTGGCTCATTGCTGGCACCCCCTCACTGAGTGGCAGTCCTGCTCCCTCCCCACAGACAGGGGTGAGCCTGAGCCCCCAGCCCTGCTCCTCATCTGCTTGTAGGGGATTCTGCTGCTCTTTTGCCTGATGCTCCATGACCCCTCTGAATACCCAGTCTGAGCTGGTCTGGCTCGGGGTTGAGCCCTCCCTTGCTGCTCACCTATTTGGTGTCCCGCTTTGCCAAGGCTCAAGGACCTTGCAACGCTTGGCTGAACAGAGCCCAGATCCCACATCACATCAGGTGCTGGGCAGCGGGAGCCACTTACCAGGGGCAGCCGATCTGTCTTGCCAGGAACCCCTTGCCACCCAGGAATGAGGTGCCGAGTCTGCAGCAGTGCTGCCCTGGGGGACAAAAAACAACACAGACGCATGATCACTGTCGAGCCGGTGCTAAAAATGAGTGAGGAGGACAGAAAACCTTTTCCTGCCTGGCCACCAAGGCTGAGGCTTTATGGAGGGGCAGGCAGATGGGGTTCCAGCCCCACAACCTGCTGGTGCCCTGGCCAACATACACCCTGACTCAGGGCAATTTAAAAGCTGTAATGGCACCATGTTTGTGCCCAGCCCTTATCCCCATCCTTTGCGATGGCGCAATCCGCATTACAACCCACAGTAGTGCCAGGCTCAGGCACAAAAAGCAGCCCTACAGGCTTGCCCTCCAGTGAGGGTGTTGAAATGCCCCTTGATTTCAGTGGCAACAGATAAGGCAGAGCTGCACCCATGCCAAGCTCCTGCTTTTCCAGATACCTGAAAGATGCCACCTGCAACTGTCCCCTAAGACACCCCTCAGCCTGCAACCTCATGTCCACTGCCTTCCTTGTGTGGGGCACTTAAGGGGAGGCTGGGGAGAGCTCTGAGCATCTCCATCCTCTTTCCTGCTTCTGGCCTGTGTTTCCTCCCACTTACTGGCACGGATGTTGATACTTATCTGTCCTCCTTGCATGACAGGGAAGACCTCAGAGGATTTTGCCCCCTCCTACCATGCTGTTTGGCTTTCAGCAGCCACTGGATTTGCTGCTCATGGTGCTGCCCCTACCATTGTCAAGTCCTGGAAGACTTTTTCCATCTCCCTCTCAATGATTCACACCTCCCTTTTGCCAGGTCCTTGCTCCACCTGATCAAGACCAAGGGGACTGGGCAGCTCAGCATCAGCCACCATATGGCTGGGAACAAAAGGCAGCCTTGGTGCTGCTCCCACCTCTTCATGGCTGCCTCTGCCTCCCTCAGGAGAAGCTCCCTGCCCCAGCCTGCAGTAACATTGCAGATGTGTTGTGGGGAGCAGGGATCCTGCTGTGGGGCTTCCAGAAGGAATTAAGCACAGACCATGCCTCCTGACAGGAGTCTGAGGTCCAGGTTTGGCAAGAGGCCCCTCAGTGCAACTTTCCTCCATGCTCTGCAGAAGCAGCTCCTGTGCACCCCCTGCACCCCTCAGCTGCTGCAGCCAGGCTGGAGGACAAGGATGCTGCAAACCCCTCTTCCAGAGGTGCCTCTGCCATCAGTCCCAGCTCATGACACCAATGGTCAGAAAAGGTGACTCGGGCTTGGAGCCCCCGGTGCAACGGGAGAAAAGCCAGCAACCCCATTTCCTTCCCTGACCGTCTGATTTCCAAACCTGGGAGTGAAGCTGCCATCCAAAAAGTACCGCAATAAAAAGCAGCCTTACAGACTTCCCAATTTATCCTTTCTCTGTAGCCAGCAGCGCCAGCACTTCCCAGCTCCTCGCCAGCAGCCTATTCTTCAGTCTACTTGCTATGCAGCCCTCACCTTGTGCTGCTTCCCCCCTCACTCGCCTGTCCCTAGCCCCAGTGAAGGATCCTGGCCATGGCTAAGCTGAGGTGTCATTCCCCACACACACAGCCTCTGCAGGACTAACCCAGCAAAGCCCTTGCTCTTGTCAGGTGGGTGAGCAGATTTTGGCTGAAAATGCTGAAAAGAGGGAGTTTTAGTCAAAGATGTCAGCTTTCTGGAGCAGCCCTGCATATATTAAATGTGCCTTAACCCTTGCTGGACCAGTAGTACTCAGCACCCCATTTTGCAATGGGATATCTGTGACCTCCCAGAGACAACGTAAGTGTTCTTGGTCCTTCATCTGAGGCAGCATCTCACAGAGGTAAGCTGACTGACCCTTTAGAAAACTCTCCTACATGTGTCATTCCAGCCCCTCTCCTTCAATGTCACCCCTGCATCCCTTCATGCCACCTCCTGCTGCCCCCCCCCATGTGCTGCGGGTGCCCTTGTGATGGGCAACCCAGGGGCATACTGAAAGTGACCTGGCAGAAACTGCTCAGGAGAGGCCAGGAGCAGGGAGAGGGGGCTTGCAGGGGACATAGAAACACAGTGGTGACCAGGCAGGGGTGAATGAGGCAGGAGTGCCATGCAGAGTGCCAGGACATGGGTGACTTCAGGCACAAAACCTTCCCGTGTGAATGGGTGGGAGCACACACCAGGTTGCAGCGTTACCAGCCATGGGCTCACCCCGACTATAGAGGACTCCCCAGGACTGGGCACCCCGGGGCAGCTTGGGGCAAGGGGCTGCCGATGGCTGGGGACCAGGACACGACCCCGCTCCCATACATTGCATCCCCGACAAAACCCCATCACCTGCCCTGCAACGTGCCACCTACCTCCTTCCACGGCCGCAGGGAGACGGGGTGAGGCTGCTCCCTCCGGCATCAGCCGGGCCGGTCGGGATGAGTCGGGCTCTTTCCCCAGCTGGCAGTGCCAGGGAGAAGGGACCCCGCTCCGGGAGAGGAAGGCGACAGAGAGAGGCGATACGCGAAGGGCGGGAGGGAAGGAGGGAAGCCAGGAGGGAATGAGGGAGGGAAGGAGGGATGGCGGGGGCGTGCAGGGGTGACACGCAGCCTCATTTCCCACCGCGGCTCCTGCGGGCTTCCCCCATCGCCTCCCCGGCAGCTACAGCCCCCCTCCAGCCTCTCCAGGGCACCCTCCGCCGGCCTCAGCCCCCGAAGGAGGGAGCGTCTGCACCAATTGCATCCCCGCGTAGGGGAGAGCTGGAGGCGGCGGGAGGATTTTAGCAGCCGTCGTTATGGCAACGGGCTTCCCGAGCTCACCCGCACATGGTACCCGGGAGGGAGCCACGGGAGACGCGGCCGAGGCATGTTCTTCCCTCTTCCCGCATCACCCGCAGCCCGGGCTGCAGCGCCGGAGCCGCTGCTCTCCACCGGGCTGAGAAGGAAGGATGGGGCTGGGGAGGAGGCGAAGTGCTAGGGGACACGTGTGTAGGCTCGGGATGATGGAAATGTACGAGATGTTAAGGTTTCGCAGTTCTACCGGTGAGCCCCGCCAGGGGCTGGGGCTTGTCAGCAGCGGGATGGAGGCAGGGGGAGGCAGGAGTGAAAGGGGGAGGGAGGTTAGTACTCCCTTTGAGGGGTTTATGCAAAAATGAAATAATCAACACTGACCAAAACTATCTTCCAGTGGAAAACAAAACCATCGCTGCCTGAAGTAGTGTTTTTGCTTTCAATGGAATACACTGTTTCCCAGACCCATACCTGGCCCTGTCACGGCTGCTGCAATGTTAAAACATTTTTGGCTTTTCAACGCAGCACAGAACAAACACCACCGAACAGCTACCAAACTATTTTGCTGTTGTTGTTGTTGTTTGTGTTTTGGGTTTTTTTTTGTACACAGGGAATTTTTCACCATGACCCAGCAGTCGTTTAATACAAGCGTTCTAACAAAATCCATCCAACAACTCGCTCCAGCCCTGCCCGCTTAGCCTCTAACACCTACAGCCCTGCAGGGCACCTGCAAGGGGTGGTTGTCAAGGCCTGGTGGCTACTAATACCCACCAAACTGTCTGAGCTCCAGATTCATGCCCGCTACATGCCTATGCCCCAGGAGCTGTGAGGTGCAAGGTCTGGCTTCCCAGTAGATTGTGTTCCAGGCACAAAGGGATTCGTTCCCTCCCCAAGTTCGTCACAGAGCCCATATGTGCTTGCTAGCTCCAAAGGTGATACACCCAAGGGACCTGTCTCCTGGTCTGCGCTGGGGTTGCATGCATTGGTGCAGGGATAGGGCTGTGCTAGGAGCTGTGGAAGGTGGCTGGCACACTCCACCATTTCCTTCTGATCCTCCTTTTGTCCTCCCAAGCCCCACTTCTGCTTGATGTAACTTCATAATAGCTTACAAGCATTGAGTATAGGCTCGATATACCCCTCTACCTAGCAGGATATTTGCATGGAGGACCAGATCCATCAGGATTAGTGAACTGCTGCTTGGTTTGATGGGCACTCCAGATGGTTGCCATGTGCCTCCAGAGAGAAGCCTGCAATCGCACCTTAATTTTAACCTCACTGAGCTTCAACCATGACACCCACCTTGACCACCAGTGCAATAACTGCTTCACTAATCCCACTGCATTAGGAGAAAAGCAGAAGCCTCATGGTTTTGACAGTACTGGGAGAGAAATGTGGTTTGAACAAATCAAAAGCCAAACAGATTTAAAAGAAAAAATAAGATGTTGAAAGGATATTATTTATTGTGTTCCCAGAGCAAACCCTAAGGGTAGGCAAAGGCACAGTACATGTCATGACATGGCAGCCTCCCTTACTTCAAGAACCCTCCCAGCTGAGTCCAAAGCACCCTTGGAGGCAGCAGGAAATGAGCACAGGAGCTGGGATATGCTTGCAGAGCCTCTACCTCTGACTCCACGGCAGCTCTTGCTGTCTGTGACAGGGCTCTCAGGTGCTGTCACATCCTTTGGTTTCTGACAAGAGGTACGGCATTGAGACGGCTCCAGGCTCCATGTACAGCTCAAACCACATGGAAACGCTTCACTGCTGCTCAGCTTTCACTATGAATAAGGCTGCTGTGCACCACTCAGCATCTTCCAGGCATAAGCATGTGCATATCATTCTGCCTGGCCCAGGGGGACTTCCAGCTGCTTCCACCTCACTTGCAGGAAGCCCCTGAGTGGCTGTGCACACACAAGCCCCTCAAAGCCATTCACTCCAGGATACTTGCCCACCACCAGGCTTCCGACTCTCCGTATGTCTTGGCAGCCACAGATTCACCTGCATGATGAAGGCAAGCATGGGGTTGGGTTTGATGTGAGAGGGCCACCCAGCCAGAGCAGAGACCATGAAACCCTTCTCAGACAAAAGTTCGGGCTGGAGAAAAAGGAGATGGTTGGGCAACCTCAGCCACATGCTTCCTGCTTGTCGCATGCCCAGAAATCACAGCATGAACAACATACTGAGCTGGGCTTAATCCCAAACCTGACTGTCATTCAAGTTTTTGCCTAACACGTTTTCTTGGGGTTCTTTAGCATCCCTTAGGCTTTTATCAGCATCTTCCAAGATAATCAGACACTAGTCTGCCTGGTTTTAAGGCAAGACCAATCCCGCAAACACTACTCTCTCAAGGTCAGTAGAGGCATGGGAGAAGTTGCATTGTATCAAACTAGCCTCCCCCAGCTGCTGCAGTAGAGGGCAAAACTCCTGCAAGAGTCACAGAAATACCTCCCTGCTCAGCTACTGGAGGGGAGAGAGGTGCTGCAGGATGCAGAAGGCACCCTGGGTGCATGGCAGGGCGTAAGTCAGACACTCTGGTGGAAAAGCAGAATAACCTGCCTTCTGGGTGCTACTGCAGCTTCCAATAAGGAAACCCAATTGAGAAGCTTTGCTGAGTTGATCAAAAAGGTAAGGAAATGTGTGCGGTGACTTAAGTTAAAGAGCAGAATGGAAAAATCAGACTTACTCTGTGCCTAATGATAGCTGGGGGGAGCCTTTGCCAAAGGAAGCTGAAGTTGCCAGCAACATATGTGGAAATGTCATTAGTTTCCCTAACAATTAGCACTTGCTGCAACTGATATTGTTTTTGTCTATTAGTGAGAGAACAAGTGCAATGAAATACACAGGAGTTTGTGTTCTGCAAGCTTCCTGGGCAGCACTGTGAGAGGTCACCTCAGAGACAGCGAAACACGGCCAGGTGACATCTCCAAAACTCGTGCTGAATGGGGCTGGGATGAAACCATCACTGCCAGGAGATCTGGGAGCAGGTGCTGAGACAACAGGGACCACTGGGGTCAGCACTCCTTTTGAGACTATCTCCAAAGCCTGTCTCCTTTGCTCCTCTGGCTGCTTGGAGAACGGAGTAACAGGACAAGGGGAAATGGCTTTAAGCTGACAAGAGGGGAGATTTAGGCTAGAGATAAGGAAGAAATTCTTCCCTGTTAGGGTGCTGAGGCACTGGCACAGGTGGCCCAGAGAAGCTGTGGCTGCCCCATCCCTAGCTGTGCGCAAGGCCAGGTTGAAGAGGGCTTGGAGCAACCTGGTCTAGTGGAAGGTGTTCCTGCCCATGGCAGGGGGTTGGAACTGGGTGAGCTTTAAGGTCTCTTCCAACCCAAACTGTTCTGTGGTTCTATGATCATTCAGAGAAAGTATCTCAAGAGTCAGTCATCAACCCACTGGGTGAAGTACACAGCAAAGTGGCCAAGGATACACGAGGGCAAGGTGTGCTGTATAACATTTTTTCTAGCAGGTGGTGCTGTCCTGCTGCAGAAGTGACTGCACCATTCCTGGGAGGACTGGTGATGGCCAGACCAAGTCTCACTGATGCAAACTGCCTTCATTGGCAGCACCAGAGAATTTTCACATTGGCTACAATTACATGTCTACTCATTTTTTGAATGGTTTGTTCTACCACAGCAATATACAGTGCCCCACGGAGTACTGTCAGGAGCTTTCCCCTTCTGTATCATGCCCTGCTCTTGTCCCTTCTGCCTGAGCTGGGGGCCAGGGCACTGACACCCCTGCATCAGCTCTCCTGCACAGCTCAGAAGGGGAGATGGACTCATTATTCCTGCTTTGCAAACTGTAAACAGGGTGGAAAGAGGTGAAACGGCCTGACACAGCCATACAGTGATATGTAAAATATACCACAGGGTCCATCACCAATTGTGTCTAAACCCTCTCCCCTCCTCTCCTTGCCAAGCTACAGATCTAGACAAGAGCTGCAGGCACATTGCCAATCTGAGTCTCCACCTCCTTATGCTATTCTCTCCCATGCAAAGCAGTTTATAAATGCTACCTTCTGGCATTAGATCTGTTTCATACCCCCTGGTCTATGGGTAAATAGCCATTGAGGGTACAAGACGGTGACTTCTGCTCTCCCCTCTGGCTACCCAGAGAGGTGAGCTCGCTCTGCTGGCTCTTCATCCCCCATGGAGCATCCCTGCCCGCATTTCAAAGAGGAAGGAAGGCAAAGTGAATCTGCCTGGCGCAGCTCGCAGTGCCAGCTATCTGTCAGCGGCTTTGCAACGCAGGAGTACATTTGCTCTGCCAAAGCCTGGACTTTCAGGCAGGGACCGGCAGTACCACTGCACTCCCCCCATCCCATTAACCCCTCTGTTGGTAAGGGGCTAAGAGCCCCTCTGACTAAAGGGTGCAGTGAAGGCGGCACACAGAGGAGGGAGTGGGGTGAACCTCTGTGTCCCCACAGGAAAGTGGGGGTGTCGTGGTTTAAACCCAGTCAGGTAATTCGTTCTCTCACTTCCCCCCCTTTCTTGCCCTCCCCCTGCTCCCGGAGGGACAGAGAGGAGAATCGAAAAGAATGCAACTCCCACGGGTTGAGATAAGAACAGTTTAGTAACTAAGGTATAACACAAATCACTACTGCTACCACCAGTAATAACAATGAGAAAGGAAATAACAAGGGAAGAGAATACAACACCTCAGCACCAGCCGACCCATAACTTGCCCCCCTCAGCCTGACCAAGCACCGACCCATACCTCCTCCAACCCTGCAGTCCCCCAGCCCTTCCGGCTAACTCCCAGTTACATCCTGGGCATGACGTGCTGTGGTATAGAATACCTCTTTGGTCAGTTTGGGTCAGGTGTCCTGCCTCTGCTTCCTCCTGGCTTCCCCTCCTCCCTGGCAGAGCATGAGGCTCACAAAGTCCTTGGCCAAACCAAAACATCGCTATCAGTTCTGTTCCCAGGCCAAAAGTCAAAACACAGCACTGCACCAGCTACCAAGAAGGAGAAAAATGACTGCTACTGCTGAACCCAGGACAGGGGGTCAGCCCTGCAAAGGGAATTCTGCCCAGGGACAGCCAATAAACCTGCTAGGGACAAGACAAAATAACTGTGGGATTGGTGGTAGCTCCCATGGACCCACTTCACCTCAACAGACAGCATGTTGTGAAAAGGAGGAAGCCTGCAGTGACAGGGAACAGCGAGCATCTCCCCCAGCAAACACTGAAGCCACCCAGGTCCTGCTGTGCTGCCAGACAGCAGGCAACAGGAGCACAAAGAGGACAAACACCTTTTAGGTGGGTGCCACAGCTTTTAGCATATTTCCACAGCAGTCCAAACGAGCATTGTCCTAATTGCTCTCCATCTCCCCAAAACCTGGGAGCTGGGTCTCTTTATTTACTGCATCTGCCTGCCTCCCATCTTCAGGACACGTCTGCCCTGGATCCGTCCTCCCTTCCCCCCGTCAAACTCAACAACCACCAGAAATATCCTGTAATCTCTTCTGCTTCACCTGTAATTTGTGTCATGCTGGCAAGGAGGAGCGGAACCGTCTGCCTTTGTCAAGATCAAAAAAGCCATGGCAGCCATGTGATGTCAGCTTACATTACACCACCCTCACTCACCTCTGCCTCCCCTCTCCTGCTTGCTGCAGCGGGGGAAGATGTCTTCATCCTCCTGTGGCCTTCCTCCTCCCCATGGCACATCTGGCATTCACAGGTAACCTGGCTGATGGCAGAAGGAGGGCCAGCCCCAGCAGGGAGCTGAGGGGGTCCTGGACCCTGCCCCACATCAAGCTGGAGCCAAACCTGGGCATGAGACAAAGAGCATGAGATGCAGCAAAGGAGACTGAAGGCCACTGGGGGACACTGGAACTCTGAGGCCTTTACATCAGTGCAAGTCATCCTCCCGCTCTGACCTTGGACTAAGGAAACCTCAGCCCAACCTTCAGAACTGCAGTGCTTCAGCACAGGCTCCTTCCTGCCTGTCTCATGGACAGGGGAGTGCTGGGCTGGGCAGGGTCCGGCCAGCCCTAGGGGCAAGGGGCAGATGCTCTGGAAAGGGTAGGATGGAGGCTGGGCTGCAGGAGCTGCTGCAAAACCTCACATGGGGCAATTCGGCATGCAACGCTGAGTGCTGCTGCTGTGTGCTGTTAGCGACATTCCCTTCCCTAGCTATTATATTTACCTGGAGTACTGTGTTCCACTCTGCGGTCCCCAACACAAGAGGGACATGGAGCTCTTGGAGGGAGTCCAGAGGAGGGCCATGAAGATGGCCACAGGGCTGGAGCACCTCTCCAATGGAGACAGGCCAAGAGAGCGGGGCTTGTTCAGCCTGGAGAAGAGAAGGCTCTGGGGAGACCTTAGAGCAGCTTCCAGTGCCTAAAGCGGCTACAAGAAATCGGGAAAGGGACGTTTTACAAAGGCAGGCAGTGACAGGACAAGGGGGATGGCTTTAACCTGACAGAGGGGACATTGAATTTGATGTCAGGAGGAAGCTCTTCACGAGGACGGTGCTGAGGCGCTGGCAGAGGTTTCCCACAGAAGCTGCGGCTCCCCCCCGCCTCGCAGTGCCCAAGCCCGGGTCGCACGGGGCCTGCCCCAACCCGCTCTGGCGGAAGTCGTGCGGTAACACCGCACAGCACCGCCCTCACCCCTCCCCAGTGCACATGCGCGCTGGGAGCCCCGCCCCCGACGTGCGCCTCACGACGTCGGTTTGAATCCCGGCGGGTGAGCGATGGCGGTGTTGCGGCCCTTCGACAAGCTCCCGGCGCTCAACTCCGCCACCTTGCTGGTAGGTCCGCTCTGCGCCGCTTCCCCTGCCCCGGCCCGCCGGTACCGCGCCTTCCGACCCCTTCCCCTCGGGAGCCACGGCCTTGCTGGCCCCAGTGCTGGTTCGTGCGCGACCCCCGGCACCGCGGGTGCCTTTTGCCAGCGGCCTCTGACCGCGCTTTCCTTCTCTGTCCGCGCAGTTGGTGGGTTCGGACGAAGGGCTCCAGCAGGAGCTGGCGAAGGCGATGCTCCAGGAGAAGAAGAGCTTCAAGATTAGCATGTGAGTGGTGGGGAGCGGGATCGCACCGGGCCCTTCTGCCGCCTTGTCCTAGAGGTAGAGCTAAAGCGGCGGCTGTGACGAGGATTCACGGAGCTTCTGCTTCAGAGAACGTGCTATGGTAAACGCTGGAGTGCGTTACTGCGGGGGGAAACGCGGTCCGCCTCCAGCGTGGTGGGGTTAACCTCAGCCAGCAGCCAAGGACTGCACAGCCGCTCGCTCATTGCCCTCACCCCCCCCACCGGTGGGATGGGGAGGGGAACCGGGAAAAGTGTAAAAACCCATGGGTTGAGATAAGAACGGTTTCATAATTGAAGTAAAAGTAAAACGTTATAACAATAGAAAATATTCATATTGTTATAGTATTTTATGTTTCCTCCAGAGAGAGGAAGGAATAAACAGATGATGCACAGTATAATTGCTCACCACCCACTGACTGATGCCCATCTCTTCGCTGAGCAGCAACCGGCCCTTTCCAGCCACCTCCCCACAGTTTATATACTGGGCATGATGTGCTGTGGTATGGAATACCCCTTTGGCTAGTTCTGGTCAGGTGTCCTGTCTTTGCTTCATCCCAGCTTTTTGTGCCCCTCCTCGCTGGCAGGGGATGAGACAGAAAAGTCTTTGATCAGGGTAAGCACTACTCGGCAACAACTAAAACATCCGTGTCTTATCAGCATTGTTCTCAGACTAAAGCCAAAACACAGCACTGCACTAGCTACTAGGAAGAAAATGAATTCTCTCCCAGCTGAAGCCAGGACAAGGGCAGGCAGTCTGGGCATGGTTAGATGTGGGAGTGGAAATAATGCTCGCATTCATCATGTTCACTGTGCACATACCATTCCCCTTTGGATGTTGCACAGATGCTTGATTACTAAATTGCAAGAGAGTGAGAAGAGCACAGGTATTTTTTCCCCTCCTGGGAGATAGGCATATACATGAATTTAACATGTTGCAATGGGACAAGTTGCAATGCTTGCAGCTCTTTGAAACCGAACAAGTTTGCTGAAAGATGTCCATTGCTTTTGATGCTCTTCATAGCCATTTTCGATTTTATGTGCGTGCATGTGCTTTTCGTCCTCAGGCTATTAAGATGCATTTGGAATTTCAACTTCAGCTGCATGACGAGCCCTTTCTTAAAAAGCTTAACTAATGTTTTATGATGAAATGTCCTTGACAGCTCTCTTGCTAAGACCAAATGAATTTATTCAGCTCTTCAGAAGGCATTTGTGTTATTTCACTGCTGTAATCCAAGGCTATGCAGTAAAGGCAAACTCGAGCTAATGATCTACTAGCCAGTTAGTGACTGTATTGCTCTCATCATGGCATTTTGGATGTTTGTGCTAGCTAATAGTACATTAATAACCCAATTTTCTATTCAAATTCTGCAGCTTCTGTTGAGCTGCGGAGTACCATAACTAATTGGCTACTGTTACTATAGCTGGGTAACTACCTAAAGGCATGGAAACTTATGCTCGTGCTGCAGAGCAAGGTAAGTTCCTGCCCTAGTATCATTAGGGTAGCAGAAGTCTGTGACAGTTGTCACAGCTGTGACACCCCTAGCTCCCCTTCTTTGGGATTATATACATTACAAAGAAATATAGTCTTTTCTGGCAAGACTACCTGCCAGATACTGCTGTTTAGAGAATTGGAGGGCTGGGGTTCTTGTGTTTCTTTTCACTTGGGGGGAAAAAAAGGCTTCTGCAGTGCATATCTGGAGGCTACTGGCATCATCTAGTGATGTTGGCTTAAATATCATAGAATCATAGAACGGTTTGAGCTGGAAAGGACCTTAAGATCATCCAGTTCCAACTCCCCTGCCATGTGCAGGGACACCTCACACTGTACCGTGTTGCCCAAGGCTCTGTCGCACCTGGCCTTGACCGCTGCCACGGATGGAGCATTTACTACTTCTTTGGGCAACCCATTCCAGTGCCTCACCACCCTCACAGTAAAGGACTTCTTATATCTAACCTGAACTTCCGCTGTTCAAGTTTGAACCCATTACCCCTTGTCCTATCACTGCAGTCTCTGCTGAAGAGTCCCTCTTCAGCATCCTTATAGGCCCTCTTCAGATACTGGAAGGCTGCTATGAGGTCTCCATGTAGCCTTTTCTTCAGGCTGAACAGCCCCAACTTTCTCAGCCTGTCTTCATATGGGAGAATATAGTATATAGTGGAATTCTAAATCGTGGAGGTTTTGGGTAGTTCTGCACCTGCTTCCAGACAATGAGATCTGATACTTTCCTTTCACCACAGCTTCTCACTAAATTGCATTTTAAATTGATAAGCTTGTTTGTGTTGCAATGTGTCTTTCAAGCACACTTTGCTCATAACTCGTGTTTGCTTCAGAATGTTTTTGTTAAATCATAGCTTCCTTACTTGTAGGAAGCACCACACCTTTATGTGGAGACTGGCAGACAAAAGTACAAACTGCATGTGATTAGTAGAAGGGAATGTGTACTGTGGCTGCTGGGGAAAGCTGTGAAGTCCTTAGTTAATTGCTATAAGTAATGTTTCCCCTAGGAAACCAAAACCAGTGTTTCTCTCTTGGCTTCCAGAGACAAAGTGGATTGTGAGAGAGATTGAAATTCTGGGATTTATTTTTTCTCCAGTCTGTCTTTCAGGTGAACTTCCAAAAATATGCTTCCCTGTGGAAGGCCCAGATAGGCACTACTGAAGCTTTTCCCTTTTTTTTTCTTTTTACTTGTAGTGGGAAGACACACAGAAAATCCCCACCCTGTGTTTTTTCCAACAGCTGTATCAGCAGTGGTAGTATTGAATAGAAGGAAATATCAACCAATCTAGTAACTCCTGATGCAGTGAAAGGGATAAAAAAGGGGTAATGATATAATAGGAGCTCTTTCTGAATTAAAACTTCATCTATAAAGTTGTATTAGTGATAATATGCTATTTTAAGGTTTTGTGAATATAACACACCTCTATCACAGGCATCTGAGAAGGTAGACTCTCCTGTTTGAGAGCATGAGCAGTATCTTTGGAACATGACGGGAAAGCACTGGTGCATTTTAGATGAAACTTGGCAGCAAAATACACCAGTAAAGTACTGAGGTTCACTTTGTTAGAAAGGACTCTTCTTAACAATTAAATGACTGCTGTATGGATCTGTTGGGAACAAATGCTTCTGTGAATCTTGTTATGCTCTAATAAGCTTCCCATTATAAACAAGCTTGTCCAGCAAGTACCATTGTGCCTGTCAACAGCTATGAGTAGGCCTATGATATTAGAATACCACTTAAAGAATTGCAGTGTCTCTTCAGTTCCTACATGTTTAGTGTGCTTTCTGGTAACTTGCTACATGGTGAACTGTGATGGTTATCTGGATGTGGTTAAGTGGATAATGTCTTGCCAAGCTATTTGGTTAAACTGGACAATTTATTCTCTTTCAGTCATCTTGCTACATCCCTCCCCTTACCTTCAGAGGGGGATCATCTTCGGCCCAGGATAGATCTGATTGTGTTTACGATTGACATCAAGAACAAATACAGGTAAAAGAAGGGCAAAAATCTGAGAGGGGAAACTGATATTCTTTCTTGGATTGATAAATAAATCTATATTTTTACTGTGTCAGAATTTCTGAATAGTGGAATTCAAAGCCAAGACTTGCTGTGGTGGAACAGCTCAGTAATACATGCAGTGGTTTTCTGGCCTTCAGCAATGGATTAGTTCTGAACCGCTCTGTCTAATAACATGCCTGTTGTGCACTAAGTTGCCATAGCAGAGAAGGCAGAATTTATTCCCGAGTATGGATATGTGGTGATGGGAACTGAGCTTTGGAAAGATGCTGTCTCTAAAATTAGATGGAAATGATGGTCATGCTGTTAAGTTCTGTAATATACAGAGGGCTGATGTACACTGGGCAGTGCAACCTAATAACCTGCCAGTTGCTGCATCTGTGTCCCCAGTTCACTGATACTGCTGTTCAAGTTGGATCAGCACTGCAGATGTCTTTAGGTAAAAGAGAAAGTTCTGCAGGGATGATCCCTTTTCTCTCATCTTGTGCTCATCTTTGTAGAAATGATGTTTCAGTCCCTAGGCCATAAGTAAAGACTTGCTAAGGCACAGAAGTCAGCATTTTATTATTTACTTAACTTGTGAGTGATGATCCTGGGCTCTCATTTACCAAAAATGACAGGCCCAGCTGCATACTTATAGCACAAATGGTGCTGCGGAAGTGTGTGGGCTAGCTCTTCTGAAAGAGCCAAAGTAGTGCTGAAGTCTTGTTGGATGTTAATGAATGTGGATGCTTAGTGTCCGCAAATCACAGAGGAGACCATTCAAACTAAGTCTAACTGTTGAGTCTTGGGTAGAAAAGGATATGTTATGGATTATTAAACAGCTGTGGGTATTACAGAGAGCTCTCATGCCATGCTTTTAGCACAGAGCATAACTCTGCCAGCTCTCAGATCAGCAGATGTTAACATCAGTGGCTTTCTAAATGTGCTTCTGAAAGTTACACTATTTGTCCTTATGCTGAACTGTTTTTACCTCCCTGTCCAACTGGATTATCTGTGTTTCTCTGACAGCTTGAAGAATGTCGAAGCTTCCTTAGCTCATGTGGCTGCCAGCTTCTTCCTGGGGAAAGTGTGCTTTCTTGTCACTGGGGGTACGTATGCCATCTGCCCTCTTCTTCTTCTCTAGGCAGCACAACTCACTGTTGATTGCCTTAAAACAGAGCAGTGACTTAACTTGAAACAAGACAAAGGAAAACAGTGGCTTTGTCAAAAGCTTTGTTTAAATTATATCTGAACTCACCTGTGGGGGGTTTTGATTGTCAGATGAAACACGGTTCTCATCTCATGCTCACTTGCTCTCTCCTTCTTGTTCTTGCCAGTAAGACCTCTCTTCTCTGTCCCTAATCCCTGAATATGATTTGTGCTATTGATTTGTATTTTTTTCCTGTGTTACTGTAGAAGTCTGTTCTATCTGCTCTTGCAGATATGTCTTAATGATTATCTTAATAAGCAGCGAGGAGTGTATGATACTGTGGTAATAAAATGCATTTAAATGGATGAGCTACTAAACTATTAAATATGGTTTTAATACAACACTGGTATCCCTGCTGTGTACTGTCTAGCCCTCTTGTGCCTCTAATCTCTTTCTTTCCCCCCCACTGCCTCAAGTAGAGGGAGTGTTTTCCTGTATCCTCCCTGCTTCAGCTCTGAGGAACTGGAGTGGGCAGACCATACTGCTCAGTGTTGGACAAGAGGTCCCGTGTCCTTGGAATTTTGGGCTCAGGAGGCCTAATTCTGGGGTGAGAAAGAGTCTTAGTGTTGTCCTGTACTATGGCTCTCCTGAGCAAGTTAATTCCTCAGAGACTTGAGCACCCTGTGATACCACATGAGCCAGATTCAGACTGTGCTGATAATAGTGTACCAGTCCCTTATTCAAAATGGTACAGTACTTGGTAATGTGGTAGTACTATTCCACATTAGTATTATGAAAGACTTCTGTGCTAATTCCATTGTGAATCTTATACCATTCTCTTTGTACTGCTCACTGTTGCCTTACCTTCTACAGTGCTCTGAAAGCTAGCTCTGGATAATTTTGTGGATGTGGAATTCCCTGTAGTTTTCTTAACTGAATGTTGAATATGTGGCTTGTAATGTGGGAAATCTTTTTCTGTAGTTGGCAGGGTGAATTTCTGCAGTGTAGAAATGAGTTCCATCTGGAAACTGGGAGAAGTCTACTGCAGTCCTGTGCTATACTGTGAGCTGGAGGTAAGGTGCTGATTTGGTGTCTGTAGGGTCTTGTGCATTCCAGTGCTCTCTGATCCTCAGGAACATCATTACCTTAGCAATAAATATATGTACATACACTACTGTCTTGCTTAAGTGTCAAAGACCAGACTCTATAAGAGTAGTAGAGGTACAGGAGTCTGGCTGTTCTTGAAATGAGTCTTGTAAATTACCTGCTCATTCCTGTGCTACTTCAAAGCCTCAGGAAGCCAAGTCTAAATTAATAAAGACTTCACTGATACACAAAGCCTCAGTACACTTTGTTCTTTGAGGCATTTTCCCTTCTTGGGAGCCACATAGCTGTTATTTGCCATGTGGCTCTCTTGTCTGTATAATGCTTCCTGTTAGCCAGGCTTTGTTGCTTCACAGGCTGTTTTGCTATCTGATACGCCACTCTTTCCAATTACCTGTTTGGTCTGAAAAGCTGGAGGGAGAGTTTGGCATTCAGCAAATGTGTGTTCACTTTTCTGTGTGTTCGTCATTGCACCCTCGGAGATCACTTCCCTACCAGCAGGTAATACCTGTGCCTTTGGCAAGCCCTTCAGGGTTTTCGGCTGACAACACTGTACCTTACTTAACATTAGGGGAGTAAACAGGCCTGTTTGGAGTTTTCTGTAGCTGGCTGCTCTGAACCATACTTAATGCCTGCTCTGGTTTTGATTTTATTTTATCACAGCTTTGCACTGCTTTTCTTTTCTGTTGCTGAAATAATTTCTCAATTTTGTTTCCAGTTGGAATGGATACGAGTTGCCACTGCTCAGCGACTTCTCCGGATGTTACAGATCTGTGCTGGTCATGTACCAGGAGTTTCTGCCTTGACCTTTAACTTTATGTTGAGGAACTCTTACTAGCTTCCCATTGTGAGAATTGAGGATTTTTACTTCAGGCATTCAAGCTGCTTCAGTTGGAATCACGCTGGGAAGCTTTTTTGCCTAACATGTCATGATCACTCATCCAGAGCTGTTCCTAGTTGCTAATCTCTCAAGAAAAGCTTGATTTCTGCTCAGCTGATAATGTAGAGGTGCTGGGGGGGGAGGGGAGTTTGAACTGGGGACTCCTATCCATTATTACATCTCAGTCCCATTTCATGATCAAGTTTGAGTTTCACCCACTTCGCCAGTGGCCAGGAGCTACATGTTTTACTGAGAGAATATCAGAAAAACAAGCTGCTAGCCCAAATACTTCATATCATGTTGAGTATCTTAGTTTCCCAAAGTACTAGAGAAGAGGCAGCAGGTTCCTGCTTCCTTCCAGTTGAAATATAGCACCTTGGACTAACATGAAACCTGCCTCCTAGGTTTTGTCTCCCCACTAAGAGAATAATGGGGAAGAAGGGTTGTACTTCAGCGGGCAGTAAGTGATCCAGGTGTGTGAGTGTCTGCCCAGTGAAGGGCTCAGTATTCCATGCCTGGTACCTAACTGGGGAGGAAGGGAGTAAATAAGGTAATTGAGCACTTTAGCTTTCTTATAGATCTTTAAAGAAAAAGGCTTCATCTAGCAAACCCAAGATAACAAACAACCCTACTTTATTAAGCCTAGGATAACCATATTCTTACTGCAATTCAGCAGTTTGTTATGGAGTTGTAAGTTAACAAAATGTGTACTATTTAATAATTAGCTGTATGCTGTTTGTTCAGGTATATGGCACTGGCTCTGAAGACCTATGAGCACTTGCCCAGGTTTGCCCGGGCAGGGAGGCTGGTCCTTGCTTGCAGCTTGAGCTTCCAGTTAGTTGGTGGGCTGCAGTCACGGCTTCAGCCACGGGGTGGTGGCAAAAGCTTTTCAAATAGGAATCTTCCTGTATACCCACTTGAGCCACCTTCTCCAATACGTTTCTTGAGTCGCTGGGATGTTTCTTACCCAGAAATGCGTGCCAGGTAGAAATGAAGCCCAGAGAGAATGTGTTAGGCTTCCTCCTGGTTTAATTTATTTAATCCCCAATAGTGTGCTTTAATGTAGCTAGGTGCAGAGCTTTAGCTGTGTGTGCTGTTTTGCTTAGCTTGTTTCTGACATCTGTCTGTGAGCAGGAAAAAGCAGAAAGCAGCACTGCAGGCTTAATCAGCTGTGAGTGTTGGCAGTCCTTGTAAAGACAGCTCAGCAAGGCACAAAGCCTGTATCCTTGCTCAGAGGACGCACAAATCCCAGCTACAGTTGTATCGTTGCTGGCAGGGGACAGCTAGGTTGTTTATCAGCTGAAACAAAAGGAGCTGAACCATTCAGCTGTGTTATGGTGCCCAAAAGGGTTGGACTGGCTAAAACCCAAAGGAGAAAGAAATATGCAAACTCTCCTGGCTGTGTAAGAAGGATTGGAAGCTTAATGGGCATGCCCTACTTTCGGCTAGCTTTGTGATCCTGAAGGTACCAGCTAGGACTTGGCCACCAGAGTGAGGCAGTCATGCTGAGAAACAAGTTTCTCTGTTGGTTATGCTGTCTCAGCCTTGCTCTTGCTTTGGGTCCCTGAAAATAAATGAGACCATGGTTTAGAACAGACTGGTTTCGATTTGCTCTCGTTGTGCAGGTGCAATCTGGGGGAGGGAAGGAAGGGCTGCGGCATGAAATGAGCCAATCTCTCATCTCCTCCGCAGCTGCTGTAAGGTAAGAAGACTTCAGTCTCCTAGGTTGCTCCCTGGTTGTCTCTAATCACTATTGGACTGGGGTAAAAGCCCTTTGGCCTCAAGAGTAATTTTGCTGTGCTTTCTTGACTGGTGAAAACGAAACTTTCTTTGGTTCACCCAGACTGCTTCATAGCAACCCACATGTGCTACTGTCCATTCCTGCACCTTCAAACATGAGGTTGGGTTTTTTTCTACCACTGTGTTTCAGATGTGGTATTTCTTTCTACTACTTTCAAAGAAGAAAGGTTTTGTCTGTACCACTTCCTACAGGTGGCCAATCCCAGCTGGTACAAAATAAAATCTAGTTCCTTAAGAGCAGCATCTCACTTCACCTTGAGGCAAATATTTTTCATGCTCTTAGGAAAAAGTCTTCACTAGAAGTGGCAGGGGAAGTGGTGCATATCTAAGAATCTGACACAATGTCTCAGGTCCATCATGTTTTACAACTAAAAGTAGTTGGGACACATCTAAAGCTACAGCTTCAGCTAAGTAAATACGTCTTGGAACTGTCAGCTATTAGTTTGGACAGGCTGTAACACTGCCCCTACCAGAGAGGACAAGGCATCTGAGGATATTTTTCATCTGGATGGAGTAGCCAGGGCTAACGTTTGATGAAGGCCTTGTGAAAGTAGTACTTGGATTGGGATCAGAGTCATGAAAAGCCTGAAGCTGAACTAGGGCTAGTGACTGTCATGTTTAAACATTAGGAAAAACCTTGCCAAGGTGGCTGAAATCTAAACTAACAGAGATATTTTGGAGTTACTTGCTTTCTCTTTCTCTCTCTCTGTTGCCTCAGTTCCCTATCCCGGGGGAGACTTTCAAAGAGAAATCCCCCTTTCTGTGGCCAGAGCACCCATGAACGTTCCTGGTTTGACTGCTTCTGTTTGTGGATGTGGTTTTGTTTGTCAGCAACATTAGCGTAAAAGCAGTGTCATAAGTACAGAAGACCTTGCACAGTTGCACTAGCATAAGCTTCAGTTGTGCAGTGCTTTTTTTGGGGGGGTGGGGGTGGCGGAGCTGGTTGAGGCTGTAAGAGGGCCTGTTCTGCTACAGCAGGTTTACCACAGGATTTTGCCTTCAGCCTGGTCACATGAAGAAGATTCTATATCCTCAGCCTGCTAGCTGAGCTGCTCTGTGTCAGTGCGGTTGGCATTGCCTACTGGGACCATAGTTTTCTGCTAGCCCAGGTTTTCCAAGGGAAGAGGTTTTGCTTGCTGGCATTGCCACACCAGCAGTTAAATTAGACCAACTCTTAAGCGTGATAAGACATGATATGCTTAGTCTATACTAGCAGGAGAGAAAGTCTGTGTACGGATATGGCTCCTGTAGTAAAAGATCTCTATCCTGGAACAAAGATCAGAGAGAAATTCAGCCCTGAGGACTTATCTTTCCCTCCAAACCCTGAAACTTGTGGTAGAGGTTTAAATTCAAGGCCACCTCTTATATTTGTGTTGGGCACTGATTAAAACTCAGTATCTCTGCTTGCCAAGACCTGTAGTTGGAAGGGGCTGGCTGGGTTAGGTCAGCTGTGGCGCTCGGCAGCTGTGCTCAAGCTGTAAGAGCTGCTTGGCAGCTCTTGCCTGCTGCTGCTGTGGACAGTGGTCATGAAGAAACTTGTGTTGCCTGGAGCTGCCCTGCAGAGCTCCAGCAGAGGTACCTGCTCTGCTGTAAAAAGCAAAGGAGATGCTTTCTCCCTTGGGATTTTTAACTTGTTTTGCAGGAGCACTGGGCTTTGCTCTGGCCAGATTCCAGCTGCTACATCTCCATTCAGCTGGCCCAGATCCCCTGGCAGTCTCCTCTGAGTGTTCTCCACTTCCCACCCCAAGCTGGTGTGCAGCCTTGCTGTGGGCTGCTGACCAACTGCCACTTTTCATTCAGTGACCAGCTGTCCTTCACTGGTGGGGAAAAGTGATTTATATGCAAAAGAAAGCAGTGGCTGGCACGGCCCAGAGCTGGGAGCCAGAAACACTGGGCTCATGTCACCTCTCTTCCTGATTCCTTGCATGACCCTGGGTGCACAGGTTAAAACTCACTGGGCTTCACTTGCTCTGCCTCTACAGCAGGAGCTGCCTCCACTGGAGGGGTGTGATGAGGGCAAATAGACATTGCTTTGGGGTCACAAGTCTGGAATTGAGTGGAAATATTCGGAAGAAACCTAATGAGCAGAGTGTGGTTGTTACCTGTGTTCTGGGGGGGAGGGTTTGGTGGGACCTGCTTAAGATTGGCTGTGTTTTGTGCTGCTTACCTGCCTGACTGCTGCAGGGAGGCTGCCTGAAACTGGGCTGCGATCCCGCTCATGAGGCGTTGCGGCATGGTTGGGTTTTGTTGTGAACTGGAACAAAATTACACTCTGAAGCGCTGAAATTCCCTGTGCAGTTCAATTATCCTTGAATTGGCCGGTGGGAGAAATCAAAGTCTCTGGATCTCTTCCTCATTGTTTAAATATTAATACGGCACGGCGATGCTGAGCAGGATGGCATCCCCTCGGGTCGGCTCTGCGCAGGGGGGCCGCCTTGGCTGTGAAAGAACCGGTGCGGAGCGAGAGAGAGAGGTTGGGCTGAGGGGCCTCGGGAGTGATGTGACTCGCTCTGACTCCTTGGCAGCTGAGCAGCACGGGCTCCTGGCCCGTGCTGGGGCACGTTTCCCTCGCCGCGGGCCCCTTCTGGGGGAGCTGATACGTGCCACCATGCTGGCCCCCCTCAAGCTCGCCGCGCAGGGTGGTGGTTTGAGAGGGGCCAGGAAAGGCAGGATCTGTGCCCGCCCCCTGCCCCGCAGCCTCCTCCACCAAGGGCAGTCAGTGGGGTGTGGAAGAGACGTGTTCTACACAGGTGCAGGTGCGGCTGCGGGCTGCATGCGAGGGCCCCGTGGGCCCTGTGCGTCACGGGAGGGAGCACTGAGATGGGGTGAGGGCAGAACAGAGAGAGGCCACCTTCCTCTGGGGAACTTGCTCTGCCCTCCAGTCCAGCAAGCTGAAGCAGCCGTACTTGAGAGCAGTCCTTGTGCAGGAGCCAGGCACAGCTACACCGACCTAAAAAGCCCAACTAGCGTTAAACATGCTAAGGAGGCTTTCCCGGCTTTCCGTCCCTGTGTTCCCATGGAAGCTCTCGAGTCCCACTGTGTGCCCACGCTGCATCGACAGGGCTATGGTGGCTTGCTGTGGCTGGGCCTGCCTTCCTCCTGCCAAGCTGGCCAAGTCACCACAGCACTCTGCTGGAGAAACACCATGGGTATTTGCTGAGGGTTGGCGGTCCTTGAGGCACTATCGCTGTGCACTGGTCAGCTCAAAGCTCTCCTGACCCTCTGTGCTGGCTGCTCTTCCAGGTTGGATGGCAACACGGGCGCTGCCCCAGTGTGACCTTCTGGATCTTCCCCCACCGCTGTTTCCTGTTCCTGCTCTTCCAGAGATGACAGCTATGAAGCCAGGGCTGCGTTTGGCTCAGCTCGGTATCTAACAACCTGTGGCTCGTGCTGCAGGGGAGCACCTCTCTTCAAAGCAGTGTGCCAACGTCAACTAATTAATCCTCATTCTGCCATGGGACTGAGGGGTGACTCAGTGCCTTGTGCTGTTACTCCGAGCAGCAGAGGATCAAAGGCACTGGAGCTGGGGAAGCCCTGGGGTAAAGGGGTGTTGCTGGTACCTGTAAAGGCTCAGTCTTGCTCATTTGTCTCCAGGGCTCCTTTTTAGCCATGCAGAGGGCTGAAAGCTCTCCTGCCTTAGAGATGGGGCTGACCTGCCCTCTCCTTGCTCTGCAGGGAATGTGCTTACTACCCAGTTGTTCCCTTTTGATCTTTTCTTTGGTTACAACTCAACTTGGCCATCCTGGGCAATTCTTCCTCATGGTCACTCCTTAATACCTCCCTGCCATCCCAGTGTGTGTGTCCGGGTGACAGGCAGGGGCAGGGAGGCTTAGGCAGTGTGTAAACAGGGCTGTGGTGGTGGTGCACATCCCCTGTGGGCTCTGTGACCCTCTTCAAGCCACACACCAGGCTGTGCCAGCATGGCAGGCCCAAAGGAGTGCAAACAAACCCAGCTCCCAGCCTTGGGCTTCCCTGGCGTCCACTGTGCTGCCATGTGAGCTGCTTCTGGGGAAGGGAAACAGAGAGGGGAGTTGCTCGTGTGTAGATGTTGCATAATACTGACCCAGTTTGAACAGAAGTTTGTGGGCTGGGAAGAGAAAACCCCTCCTGGGCAAGGGTTCCTGCATCCTGTCCTCTGCTCCGTGTTACAGGAGATGAAACGTGAAGCGTGTGCTTTCTCCGAAGCCTGGCTCTTCCGTCTTGCCCAGGTTGCAGGAGGAGCATCACCTGCGCAAGTCCCCTCTGTGTGTGCGAGCTGTGGTTTGGCTGAGCTCAGCCACTGCATGGGACTAATACGTAGTGATGGTGTCCTATAAATTATATAGTCGGTATGTTCGCCATCTGCTCTGCGCTGAAAGCTGAGTGTGATTGAGACCTTCCCCCCTTCCCAAAGCTTGGCTCTCTTGCCAAGCTTGAAATGTGTGCGGATCTCCCGTAAGTGGTTCTGATTGAATCAGGTAAAGAGGGAATTTTTTTAACGGGCTGCAATGTTCCCTGCACCCGAAGTGAGAGCTGAAGCATAGGCCAGCATCCTATTATGAGGCTGTGAGTAAAAAGTGAGTCTGATTTAATGCTGATTAGGTTCTAAAGGGAGCAAATCTTGATTGCAGTGGTCGCATCAAAGAATCAAAATAGTAATGCAAAAAGCAAAGGAAACCCCAGAGTGATTCATATGAGAAGGGGAAATAAAGACAGACAGTCATGGCGGAAGAAGGAGTTTGAAGGGGACTGAATTGCTCTGCTGCCCAAAAGCAGAGGGGATTTGAATCAGATTATCCTCATTAGATGTCTCTTTAAAGCATCAT